GCTGTCCACGCGACTGTATCGTGCCTTTCGTCCCAAGTGCCTGAAAATGGACGTGGGCTGGCGCTGGCGTCGCATGTGCTGCTTGCCCATTGTGTTGCTCTTCGAGCTCGGCCTGATCACCCTAGTAGCGGGCGTAGCGCTGATAGTTGCCTACTTCACGCACGCCAATGATGTTGAACGTGAACAGATTCTGGTTGCCGTCTACGTGATAGCTGCGGTGCTAGTGACGCTCATCTGTACGCATTTGCATGTGCTGGCCAAGGTCTGTGGCTCGCTGTTCATATCGCACAAGCGCCAGCTGAAGCGGGCCGTACGCTCCAACGAGAATGCGCCTTTGACTATGCTGGGAGCCGAGGTGGCTGTGCTGACGGATATGGTCAAGTGTCTGGATGCCTTTACTAACCAGCAGAGTCGCTTGGTGGGCGTCATTGATGCGTTGGACTCCTGTGATACGGAACGCATTTTGACACTCTTGAATGCTGTGCAAACGCTGCTCTCCTCGCCCAATCGCCCCTTCGTGTTGCTCATCTCGGTGGATCCGCATGTGATTGCCAAGGCTGCTGAGGCCAATAGCCGACGGCTTTTTACCGAAGGCGGCATTGGTGGTCACGACTTTCTGCGTAACTTGGTGCATCTGCCAGTTTATCTACAAAACTCAGGACTGCGCAAGGTGCAGCGTGCCCAAATGACGGCGCTGTTGTTCAAACGCAGCGGCACTGACTATCAGGTCGAAGATGGACCCACTTTGGGTCATTCGGTTTCGGCACGACGCCTGTCCAATGCCTCTGAGATAATGTCGAGCCAAGAGAAGTTGCGTGCGCCGCACAATACTCAACGCGGTGGAGGTGGCGGTAAAAAGCTGCGTCTATCCGAATCGGTGGCCAGCTCGATTGGCTCGAATCTGCATCGGCTGGGCCAAAATCCGCAAGGTGTGCTTGATCTGTCGCGCATTGTGCTGACCGATGACTACTTCAGCGATGTGAATCCGCGCAGCATGCGCCGCCTCATGAACGTCATCTACATAACCGTGCGTCTCCTCAAAGCATTCCAGATCGACTTCAGCTGGTATCGACTCAGTTCCTGGATAAATCTCACCGAACAATGGCCACTGCGGGCCAGCATGATTGTCTTACATCACGATCAGTTTATGGACACCAATGCCGATGAGAACATCTCGCTGCAGAGTGTCTATGAAAAGTGAGTGAAACTAATAAACAAGAATATCTGTATAGTAATAAGAAATACCTAATAATGCCTAACTTTCAGGGTTCGCCCGAAACTCGCCTGTCTACGTGAGGCGGCGCCACTGCTCGAGCTGGATCGCGATGAGCGTAAGCTGGATGCCTTTCTGCAGCTGCATAAATCTGATTTGTTGGTCGCGGACTTGCGCATCTTCTTGCCCTTTACAATCAATCTTGATCCGTATCTCAGAAAGGTGCTGAAAGGTAAGTAAATTCTAGTTGAAATCGCAAAGGACATTCGTTAATTTCCTTTGCTTCTGCCACAGAGGATCAACAAATCATCGAAGACGAGGGTTCGCTGGTGCTGCAAACACGCCCCAGCATCACGCACAGCATGCGTCCACATCCGCCACCGACAACCTATGTGCCTTCCCCTCAAGTCTATCCGCCATACCATATGCTACAGAACGACTTTGTTCCCAATGAGCTGCGTTCGCGCAATCTGAGCGTGATTGAGCCCACAACACCGCTCATACCATCGCCCAGCGATTCCTTTGGTGTAAGCCTTAAATATAATTTGTATAAAATGATTTTATTATAAGTTGTCAATGATTCACGCAGGATGATATACTGCAAACAAAGCTCACGGACCTCACAGTCGAGGGCGTCATAAGCCTGCTTGAACGCATTGAGGATCTCAAGCCAACGCTGCAGAAACTGGCGCCTGTGCTGCGTGAAAATGCAATTAACGGTCGCGTGCTGAAGCACTGTGAACTGACAGACCTCAAAGCGGTAAATACAGCTTGGATATATTCAATATGCAAATATATATATAATGTAAACTCAATTATTTATTTACCATGCAGGTGCTTGGCCTGAGCTTTGGCCACTGGGAACTGTTTCGACTGCTTATCACCACGCTGCGCGATGTTGACCGACTGCCACGCAAGATTCGGCCACAGGCCGCTATTGCAGAGACGCCAGCTAATGTGCCCGTGATGAGGGAGGTGCCAGATACAATGCCAGTGCCCTCGCTGTCGCGCCGAAACTCTGTTAGTCATATGGAAAAACAGGTTAGTTAGGGAATGGGTTTGATGCACATATAAAGCTCAAAGCAGACAGGATCTCATCTATGTACATAATTGTGTTTATCTTTGTCTCTGTCTAACGCTTACCAAAACTAGTCAAAAATCCATGATTATGAGTATCTACAGGTAATACAACGCCTAGCGCCCATAGACCCCACATTAACTCTAGATTCGACATAAAAGTTCTGGTATACATATATAAAATGCGTCTTTTCTTGTATAGGTTACGCTTGAGGAACAAATGATTTGCGGCGCATTGCAAACATTAAATGAGGAGGCTTTTGAGGATGTGGCCAGCAGTGAAAGGCCCAGTCCGTCTGGTTTGCCCACAGGTGAGATGTTAGCTGCAGCTGCACAGCTGCAATTAGCACCCATTCGCGAGTCGTCCGAGTTTGGTTCGCCATCGGATGAGCAGAAGATTCACAATCTGCTGCAGTATAACATCAACAACAACAACAACAATAACAACGACTACAATCGCAGCGCCAGCTCGCATTCGCTGCAAAGTCTTAACGCTGGTGGAGCTGCCGGCGGTGGGCTCCAAATGCGTATGGGTAATGGCAATAGTAGCGCCGATTTGATAAACGTGGGTGGTGGTGGTGGGGGTGGTGCTGGTAGTATGTTCTATAATCAGCATAGCTTGGCGCACGGTGCGCGTCCAAGTTCAATTGCCGATGAGCTGCTGATCGAACCCATGACGCCCTATACCCAGGTGCCAACGGTGGTGGTGGTGCCCAACTCTGATCAAGTCTACGATGATACAAAATTATAAAATCCCTCTACTAGATGTCTACCATATACTAACAAACATATCTGTATTACAAACGAGCTTCCTAACCAACGAACCTGTAAAAAAACAGTTCGAAAACTAAATTGAAATAATGATATATGCCTGTACTTACATAACATATGTATGTACGTGTGTATGCGTCTAGCAGTAAGAATAATTATAGCATATAGTATCATAGGTATTAAGGAACACGTGTATTTGGTGTACCTTTAGGTCTGGCATAGTTCTTAAGAAAAATTTACTAAACAATTAGTTGGCTAACAATCTACACATACCTATATATTATATATATATACTATATATGTGCCATTAGAGCAAGCATTTCCTACATGTGACTGGGACTTGTTGAAAATTTGAAAACGCTTTTGCAATTTTATTTAAACAATTCTTCAATGGAAACGGCTTTTATACTCTATTTAACGCATTTGAATATGTTTTTTTTCTGCAAATTTTATGTTTACTTTTTGTTAATTTGGCAATAGTTCATAAATAACCTAATCCAAACTCAAAAACCTTGTTGTGCTCAGGTGTTTGATTATTTACAGTATTTTGATTTAGTATTTACAAATTGTATTACAAAAACCGAAGACGACTGCACGATTATTTAAAATTAGTTTTAAGTTGCCATAAAAACAATCACAATTCAAATGAACAACTAACCAAAGCTGCTTCCAAGAGCGAGTTATTAACTTAATGAAATATTTAATAAATAATCATACGAACAACTTCTTACAATTGCATTTTTATATGTTCGCCAATCAAATTGAAACATGGCTTTTGTTGCTTTCGACTCAATTTTGTTGAATAATGCATGCAAAATTTAGCTTAGCTTGTAAATATTATTAACCAAAGGTGTTGGGTAAAAGATACTGAAAAAATACATATACGTAAGATCTATCTATATATATATATACTTCGTGGAAAAGGAGCACTACATTGCCATCAAGTCGTCCATACAGAGCATCATCTGGTTGCTAATTGTGTTTGCTGTGTGTCCTATAGCTAAAATCCCCCTTTTCCTATATCTCTAACTGAATTTTTCAAATTTATAGACCTTGATTTGTCAAGTGCCGGTGCCATGTTTGCTCCAACACTGCTTACCTCTGGCTCACCAATCCAGCAGCGTCGCGACTCTATACTGAAGCAGCAAGGCAGCGTGAAGTCAGAGAAGCGCGTATCGATCAAACAAACGCCCAGCGGCAGCAATTTGGCTAACATCAACAACAACAACAATAATAATAACAGTGCAAAGCTGGCATCAAATGTGGAATACGTCTCGGAGCGTCAAGTGGAACTAGCCAGTGGGCCGGGCAGCAGCAAAGGGCGCCTAACCACCAAGCCGCCAGCAGGTAATGTAATTCAACTAATATTTATATTGCTTATTCATTCAGTTGTATCCTTTATTCCTTTAGGTCCAAGACCGGCTTCACTGATCATTACTAAAAATGATTCGAATTCGCAATTTCAACTGCTGCGCTCCACGTCCATTGAATATGAGGATATCGAGGCACAGCAGCGCGCCTCAATACGTGCTATTAGAACCACACTGCTCGAACAGCAGGAGGATGAGTCGGCGCCTTTGGTGTTTACGGTGCGCAAATGATAGGACTGCAACAACTGCGAGCAGCAGGAACAACAAAAACAAAAACTACAACAGAAGATTCAATATGTGCTTTTTACTTAGTGCCAGTTAAATTAAGTTACAAATAGGCTGTAGTTCGTGTAACGTGTGTCACTGTTCAACGTTGTAATAATTTAATATTGCTAGAGAATGAATTGTTTAAATATATACACTTACTATTATGAATTTAATATGCGCTCTATATGAAAGTATGCATACGACAATTAAGACAAATAAATTTAATAAAAACAAACTTTACAAGCAATAAATAATCCAATTATTTTATTTTCTTTATTTAACGTATGAAATTTAAATGTGTCTTCTGTTACGTATTTTGGCGGCTTTCCGCAAAGCCAATACCGTTATGAATACCAACGTAAACGCAAAATGCTTCCGCGAGCCAAATCATTCAGCTGGTTCAGTTCCGATAACAATTTATCGATATTAAAAGGCACACTTCGGTGTGCTCATCCAATTCTTGTTTACTTCTGAAAATGTTGCAGTTAATTTTGTACCTCTTCTGTGAACTAAAGACATGTGGGCAATTCACCTGTAAAATAAACTATAGTGTTTAAAAATGCGTGATCTATTATTAGTTATTTGATGTTTGTTGAATAACACAGTGTTGGCTAATATATAACCTATAGGTAAGCAGTTGCATATGCAAATATAAATAATGAATAGGAAAAGTGAATGTGAAGGTAACTGTAAATATGTTTGCACTGAAGTAAACATTCGTTCAAGCTTGCTCGAAACGCGTACATGAATATTAATACTAACGCATGAACAGCATACAGTAAACATCCACTCGTGTGTGAATTAAGTAGCCTATTGGGGAGAATGCTACAAAAACAAAACGGTTGCGAGCAGCTGATTTTTGTTTACTAGCAACTGAGGGTGCGAACGTTCTCAAGCCGCAACAGCTGATGCTCGCACGAAAACTTGAAAGGTCACCTTGAGCTCAATAAAAAAAGAATTGAGGAATTTATTGTCTGGTAAAGTGTTATTCGGCCGCAGATCACAGTTATTGTTGGAAAAAATCATAAGAAAATAATTGGTGACTCACAAATTACAAATATTTATTAAAATTATTAGAGAATAAATTCAATATCATCGAGTGCTCGTGCATATTCAGCGTAGCACTAACTGAAATTTCTGCAAACAAATATTATCTAAGTGTTTACAATAAATAATGAATCATATGCATAGTATTAGTATCGTAAATGTGCTCAGAATTTGTTTGGTTTTTTAAATTTAAACAATTGAAAATAGAAAAAGATGATTATTATTCAAATAACTAATTCTAAAGTTTCTGAAAGGTGCTCTAAAGTCTTTACAGAAAGTCTTTAATAGATAACTGTTAAGTATGTACATATGTATGTAGGTCAATGGACGCAGATATATAGATCTATTTATAAAATATTTACACAAAATGTTTATCAAGAATTTGGCTAAAAAAAAAAAAGAAATGTCAAATGACAACATGCGAAATCGGGAATTTAAATAGATAAATAAGGAAGCAAAGTTGAACTATATTAAAAGCTTTTTAGCAGGGTGAAAAGTGCATTATTAGCATCAGATAATATATATGAAAAACAGGGTTATAGCTTATTTTTCTTAGGAACTTCTATTCATGAAATTGTTAACTTTCTTGAAAATAATAGTTTATGGCTTTTTTTAAGTTTACTATTTCTAGAAATCGATTTTCATTGCTAAACCAGACTAAAAACTAATTGCAATGCTTAAAGCCTAAAGTTCCATAAGCGTTAAAAATAACGCTTTTTCTGTTTTCAAAATACTAAGCAACCCACTGTATTTTGCTGTGCTTTGACCCCGGTCTAATAAAATGACTAATGCTTTTAAGACTTTGAATCGATAACGAGCATTAACAGTTATCATGTAAGCTTTGCGTGCTAAGAAATGCATCAAAGGCAATGGATGAAAAGCTCCTGCACAATCTGCTAATCATACCAAAGCTTACGTCTGCTTCTATGTGAGTGTGTGTGTGTGAGACTGTCTGAGTATGTGTGCGTAATTAGTATTCGCACTTGTTAATTTTTTTGTTTTTTTTTTAGTATGTAATCTTTATAATGGTTTATTTAAGATTGCAAGTGGCTTGGCCAACGCCGGCGCTCAGTAGCTTTAATACAGCAGTCGGTAGCGAACTCAAAAAAGAAAAGAACATTTAAAACTTAAGAAACGCTTCACAATTGCAGTTCGAGATAACGTGAACAATGCTAGTCCAGGGCTTGAAATGGCTCTACATGAGCACGCGTCGCAATTTCTATGCACTGATCCAGATCCTAATGGGCTATCAGCTAGTTCGCTGGCTCGTCGATTACTATACACAAGTAACTACGGCGTCGAACACGAATACGATGCAAATACAGCCAGTGCAAGGTTTTGATAAGTTAACGGCACAGGCGAATGTTGATGATGAAGAAGAGGCAGAAGCAGCCGTAGCAATAGCTGCTGAGCCGTCGATCAAGATTAGTGCGAATACACTTAGTGACACGAGAGTTATGGGGAATGCAGGCAGCAGTAGCATCAGCGGCTCCAGCAGCATACGCAACAGATCTGTACAAAAGCGCCACAGTGAGGTATTTACACAATCTCTGATTGTAATTATGTAGTGAATATGCACAGACACAGACACACACACACACACCAACACAGCTGTATACATATGTGTCTATTGTGTATGCATGCTTGTGTGTGTTTGTATGTGTGTGTGTGCTTGTGCATATTTATGTAAGTGTTCCGGGCAAAGCATAGACCAGACTTAATAAAGCAGACGCCCAGCGGCAGTTTCAGTCTGTGCCGTGTGCTCCTCGTGTTCTAGTTACTAAATATATATATTTATATATATATATAAATATTATTTATTTGAAAATCGCCTCTGTAATTCTATAAGCTACTTCCACTGTGGTGTTGTAACTGATTGCCTGTGTGTGAGTGTCTGAGTAATTCTAATCTAGATTACCGTAATCAATCTATCAGCTATAAATAGACAAGCGCCTGCCTCAAATTCAAGTAGAGCTGCAAAACATATAGTCCTGTATATAGTTTACATAAGTAATAGATTTTTCAAAATGTCCTTAAACTAATTAATTCAGGACAACTTTCCTAGTAGTTCTATATATATTGTTACGTCGTAAAGCTAGATCTTTGTTAAATATCCATTATTTAATTGTACTTCATGATGATTCTATTTCAACATTTCAACTCTATCATCATATTTTATTGGGGTGACATTGAAAACGAATTGAATTGAATCGAGTCGAATCAAATTGATTGCCCAATGCACAGTTCTATAAAATGGGCATATCTCTGTGATCATCTATGTACACATACATATACACACGAACACTCACACACATGCACACGCACACGCACACTCACACTCACACACATACAAACATATATACTATATGCAAGCAACCTTGAAAACTCTTCCCAGGTTTTAATAATGAGCAAGGACACGGACTCGCACAGCATACCCATCGCGGAGGGCACAAATGCTGAGCATGTACTTTACCGCTTGAAACGCGGCTCCAAGCTGCGCGTCCACCCAGATGTCGCCCTGCTGGGTCGCAAGATCCTTCTGCACACCAACTACCCAGCCGAGGGCAAGAAGTTTGTGCGCACCGAATACCGCGTGCTCAGCTGGCAGCTTAAAGATGGCCAGCAAATAACCACCGACGGGCATCCGGACGTGCATGTCGTGGACACAGACATCTTTAGTGAGGTGCACCTAAATATGTCGGGCACATTCCGATTCTACTTCAGCTTTGCCGATCTGTGAGTACCACATATAGATTCTATATAAATTTTGGCTAATTTTTCTTGTTGACTTCAGGGAGCGCAAGGCGGACTCTCCGCCGGATGGCGCGTTGTATGTGCAGGTGGAGCCCACGCTTCATGTGGGCCCCGTGGGTGCCCAAAAGGTAATACCCCTCAATTCCGTGCGCTGTCAAACTGTGATGGCCAAGCTGCTGGGTCCGCTGAACACGTGGGAGGCAAAGCTACGCGTGGCCAAGGAGTCTGGCTATAACGTCATCCACTTTACGCCCATTCAGGAGCTGGGCGGCTCGCGGTCCGGCTACTCGCTGCGCGACCAGCTCAGCGTCAACTCGCACTTTGCCGCTAAGAAGGGCGAAAAGGTCACGTTTGAAGATGTGGAAAAAGTGATCAAGAAGTGCCGCCAGGAGTGGGGCGTAAGTGCTTGAGTTGCTTCTATTTGCGGCTGCCAATTATAATGCCTCAATATGATCCTTAGGTAGCTTCTATTTGTGATATCGTATTGAATCACACCGCCAATGAATCCGAGTGGCTGCTCAAGTATCCGGATGCGACATACTCGTGTGCAACATGCCCCTATTTGCGTCCAGCTTTTCTGTTGGACGCTATGCTGGCGCAGTGCGGAGTGGATATAGCGGCGGGCAGCTTGGAGCATGTGGGGGTGCCGGCTGTCATCGATCAGGAGTGCCATTTGGAAGCTTTAAAGTACCAATTGCATAATGTCTACCTACCCAAGGTCAATATACACGAACTGTATCAGTGCGACGTGATGAAGTATGTGACCGACTTCATGTCGCAGGTGCGCACACGTGAGCCACCGAAGAATGTGGCGAACAAGTCACGATTCCAGGAGATTCAATTGATACAGGACCCGGCATATCGTCGCTTGGGTAGCACAATTAATTTTGAGCTGGCATTGGAGATCTTTAATGCTTTTCATGGCGACTGTTTCGATGAGGAGTCGCGCTTCCGCAAATGCGCCGAGACACTGCGCCATCATCTCGATGAGCTCAACGAGCGCATTCGTGCCGAGCTCCAAGGCTACCTCACCTATGCCATCGACAACTGCTTGGCGGGCGTGCGCTATGAGCGCGTCCAGCATGACGGGCCGCGTGTGCGCGAAATCTCGATTAAGCATTCAGTTTTCATGACATACTTTACGCATACCAACACTGAGGGCAAGTCGCTGAAGGAGATCGAGGGGGACATGTACGGCAAAGCGGGCGAATTCTTTATGGCCCACAATGGCTGGGTGATGGGTTCCTCTGACCCTTTGCTGGACTTTGCCGAAGAGCAACCAGGACGTGCAAATGTTTATCTAAAGCGCGAGCTCATCTCCTGGGGCGACAGCGTGAAATTGCGCTTCGGCAAGCGCCCGGAGGACAGTCCCTACCTCTGGAAGCACATGACGGATTATGTGGAGACAACAGCGCGCATTTTCGACGGTGTCCGCCTGGACAACTGTCATTCGACGCCCTTGCATGTGGCCGAGTATTTGCTGGATGCAGCCCGTAAGATCAATCCTGAGCTGTATGTGGTCGCCGAGCTATTTACCAATTCCGATGGCACCGACAATGTCTTCGTCAACCGCCTGGGCATTACGTCGCTGATACGCGAAGCTCTTTCGGCTTGGGACTCGCATGAGCAGGGTCGCTTGGTCTATCGTTACGGTGGCGCGCCGGTAGGCGGCTTCTATGCGAACCCCAATCGTGATGTGGCCTCCAGCGTGGCACACGCACTGTTCATGGATCTAACACACGATAATCCTTCGCCCATTGAGAAGCGAACAGTGTACGATTTGCTGCCCTCCTCGGCGCTGGTGGCAATGGCTTGCTGTGCCACAGGCAGCAACCGCGGCTACGACGAGCTGGTGCCGCATCACGTGAGTTGCGATGTTATCAATATTCCAGTATCTATAATGACTGAGGTATTCCGTATGCTTCACAGATTCACGTGGTGGATGAGGAGCGCCCGTATCAGGAGTGGGGCAAAGCCGTTGACTTTAAAACGGGCATTGTCGCTGCCAAGCGCGCTTTGAATATACTGCACGGCCAGCTGGCAGAGGAGGGCTTCAGCCAGGTGTATGTGGATCAAATGGATCCCAATGTGGTTGCCGTGACGCGTCACTCGCCCATCACGCATCAGACGGTCATCCTGGTGGCTCACACAGCCTTTAGCTATCCTCATCCCAATGCTGGAGCCACTAACGTGAAGCCGTTGCGCTTTGAAGGCGTCTTAGACGAGATCATACTCGAAGCCAACCTGACCATGAAGAGCGACAAGCCTTTTGATCGTCCGGCGCCCTTCAAGAAGGACAACCATGTGCTGAATGGCTTCACCCAGTTTGAGTTGTCGCTGCAGGAGCACATACCGCTCAGCAAGTCGCAGGTGTTCGAAACGAAGCACTACACCGACGGCTCCAATACGCAGCTCAACTTTGCCAATCTGCGCCCGGGCACGGTGGTCGCCATTCGTGTCTCCATGCATCCCAGTGCACGACTCAGCTTCGATTGTCTGCAGCAGGTGACAAATGCGCTGCGCCTTCAGTCGGGTGCCCAGTGTGAGGAACTCAAATCGATTGTTTCCAAATTGGATTTGACTGCATTGAGCCGCGTGCTCTTCAGCTGCGATCAGGAGGAACGCGACATGGGCCTGGGTGGCACCGCTTACGACATACCCAACTTTGGACCCATCGTCTATTGCGGCCTGCAGGGCTTTGTCTCGCTGCTAACGGAGATTTCCCCACGCGATGACCTCGGCCATCCACTTTGCAACAACTTGCGGGACGGCAACTGGATGATGGGTGAGCTATAAACTCCGGCCAAGTTATGTTAAACCCAGAGCTCATATCTCTTGCTGCTCCATACAGATTACATCGCCGATCGCCTCAACAACTTTAATGATCTGAAGCCGCTGTCCGCTTGGCTCAAAGCAACCTTTGAGCCCTTAAAGAATGTGCCACGCTACCTCATACCCTGCTACTTTGATGCTATTGTAAGCGGTGTCTACAATGTTCTGGTCAATCAGGTCAACCAATTGATGCCCAGGTAAGTCTTGAGTCAGCTCAATCGAAATCCTTTTCCATTAGGGCAATGACAATCTCAAATCACTAAAGACTTAAATTAAAACCCGTTGATCTGATATGCATCCAATTGAATTGCAGTTTCATTCGGGATGGTCACAACTTTACCCAATCCTTGGCGGTGTCCACGCTGCAGTTCCTCGCCGTTTGCAATTCGGCCAATCTGCCCGGCTTTAGCCCATCGCTCAGCCCACCAAAGCCGCCCAAGCAGTGCGTCACACTGTCCGCGGGTCTGCCTCACTTCTCCACAGGTAAGCAATGGATTTTTATGTGATTTGTCGGACTTAAACTGTTTTCCTTTTAGGCTATATGCGCTGTTGGGGTCGGGACACGTTCATTGCTCTGCGTGGCACAATGCTGCTCACCGGGCGGTTCGCAGAGGCGCGTTTTATCATTATTGGCTTTGCGTCTGCCATGCGTCATGGCTTGATACCGAATCTGTTGGATAATGGATCTAAGCCCCGCTTCAACTGTCGCGATGCGGTCTGGTGGTGGCTCTACAGCATTGCCCAGTACGTGGAGGAGGCACCGAAGGGCGCTGAAATACTCAATGATAAGGTGTCCCGTATCTTTCCGTACGACGATTCCGAGCATCATGCGCCGGGCGCCTTCGATCAGGTGCTGCAGGATGTCATGCAGGAGGCACTGCAAGTACACTTCCAAGGCTTGCAATATCGTGAACGCAATGCAGGCCATGAAATAGACGCACACATGGTCGATCAGGGCTTCAACAATCATATTGGCGTGCATCCAGAGACAGGCTTTGTGTTTGGCGGCAACAGCGCCAACTGCGGCACCTGGATGGACAAAATGGGCTCGTCCGAGAAGGCGGGCAATCGTGGACGACCCAGCACTCCTCGCGACGGCTCGGCCGTGGAGCTGATTGGGCTGCAGTACGCTTCGCTGCGTTTCATGCAGGGACTTAGTGAGCGCAAGATTATTCCGCACAGCGGTGTGGAGCGTAAGGGACCGTCGGGCGAGGTGACAAAATGGAGCTACAAGGAGTGGGCGGATCGCATACAGAAAAACTTCGATGCGCACTTCTATGTCAAGGACACAGACACCACATCGGTGGCCAACAAGAAGTGCATCTACAAGGATAGTTATGGGGCCACGCAGGACTGGACCGACTTCCAGCTGCGTTGCAATTTCCCCATAACGCTGACGGTGGCACCTGAGCTGTGCAACCCGAAGAACGCCTGGCTGGCTTTGGAGCAGGCGAGAAAGTATCTGTTGGGCCCGTTGGGCATGAAGACCTTGGACCCAGATGACTGGAACTACAGAGCCAATTATGACAACTCGAACGATTCGACAGACTGCACCGTGGCACATGGTGCCAACTATCATCAGGGACCCGAGTGGGTATGGCCCATCGGTTTCTATCTGCGCGCCCGACTCATCTTCGCGAAGAAATGCGGCCACCTGGACGAGACCATTGCAGAGACGTGGGCCATATTGCGAGCACACTTGCGCGAGTTGCAAACATCCCATTGGCGCGGTCTGCCTGAGCTGACCAACGACAATGGCAGCTACTGCCATGACTCCTGCCGCACGCAGGCATGGAGCGTGGGCACCGTGCTGGAGGTGCTGCACGACCTGCACACACTCGGAGCGGACTGCTAGGCAAAAGATCTTAATGCGAACTCAACGAATCTCTCGTTAGCAGAGAAACTATTATTCTAATTGATACAAAAAAAAATTATCCAAATACACACTTAAATGGTAGCTGCTACAAATGATGCATTACCATGAAGTTAATTGTTCAATTTGTTATCCAAGTTGTGGATCATCCATACTCTCTATTAAAGTTATTTTATCTATGCGATAAGTTGCCTTTTGTTTCTATATGCGAGTCTACGAGAAGTAGCTATCCCTGGCCAAGCGCATCATCGAGCTCTTTGGCGGACAAATGGGTCCACAATTCTTGTATGTCAAGTCGAGTTGGGAGATCGCATACTGGGCGTCCAGCAGCTGGCTACTCGGCTTGGGATCCACTTTGTAACGATCTAGAACTTCGGGCGCGTCTGGCTTCTCGTATGCCATCTTCCTATCATCCATCACTTTTGGCATTTTGAACTTTGCGCCTTTCCTTGCGTGTATCTTTCCAAGGCATTTCTGGCTAACACATTTACTACATTTAAAATCAATTTTTGTTCCACTTACGATTCGGCACTTGCTCAGAACCTGAGCGGCGGCGGCGCAGGTCAGCTCGTATGCGCTATACAAGACTATCTTTTGCACAACATCCAAGACTATAGACATGTTTATACCTCTCTCTCTATTTGTATAAAATGCGCGCAATTTTGATTAAAAATTTGGATTATTGCTTAACATTTGAAATAAACAATGGCCAATTATTAAATAGGTTTGCCAACTCTACATCGTACGGCGAACTTATTTAATAAACTCTGTGTATGATATACTGATTTAACATAAATGTTAAGTGTGGAAGGTAACTGTGCGCATATTTCAAAAATTCTATGATTCTTCACAAATTTTCAAATGAATATTTAAGACATTGATGGAATAGAGAATCAAAGCCTACTCAAATATAAAATTTCAAGCCTCAAAGTCGAGTCACATTAGGGAAGGCAGACAAAACTTGTTTTGTTCCGTTCTTATAAGAGAACATACATATATAATCTATTTAAAATTAAGTTTTTCATTGAAACAATCAGTTAGTATAAATAGTTTTCTATATAACTAACTATATATATATTTATATATATTGCTAAGCATATATGCGTCTCTTCTGCTAGACACTAAATTAATACATTTTCTTCAATATAAATAAGTTAATAATATATATGTACATAAAGCTTATTGGCCCGGTGAACATAATTCTGGAGCTGTACATGTGTATGTAATATTTTACATCATGTTTTGATGTACATAGTGCTTGCAGTTCAGTTCAGCGCACTTATTAGCCTTTTATCATCTGTGTCTGTGTCAGTGTCAGTGTCTGTGTTGGGTGTGGAGGTCGGTCTCTCGAGATCGTCATCCTTAACGGACTTCAGTTCACGTCCCATATTTTCCACTTGCAGGCTGAGACCGACCAATGCGCCGCTTTTCACTACGTCCAGTTTTGGCTCGGGGAGACAATTGTCATTGCCATCGGCGTCGCGTTTGACGCGCACCGCAGGCTGTGCCGTTGTCGTTATCTGTTGGTCTTTCAATTGCAGCAGCTCTCGCCTGATGGCTTCCACGTTTTCGGCATCGACTGACTTGTTGGCCGTCAGCTCGGCAGCTAAGGTACTGTTAGTTCGTGTCTTGGTTGAATTGGCCAGCAGCGCCAAAGGCAGTGGTAGACGTTGGGCCAGCAATGGCGCATCGCCACTTGCATTCCTGAGGAGCTCACCCGTTTTGTAAGAGAGTGGCTCAAAGACGCCGGCATGGGCTTCATGCTCCTCTCGCGCATGTGCGTTCTCAGTTAGCATTTCCATTAGTGAAGCCGGCTTGCGTTCCTTTATAGTGTTGTTGACCTCTTTAGTTTGTGGTTGCAATTGGGGTTGTGGTTGCAGTTGGGGTTGCGGTGGTTGCTGTTGGGGTTGTGGTTGTGGTTGCTGCTGCGGCTCTTGTGGTTGGGACTGTGGTTTCAGTTGTGGCTTTTGTTCTTTATTGTTTTTGTCATCTTGCAGTCGATTAGTTTCTTTGACCTGATTCAGTGCTTCAGCCAGTTCATTCACAGCCAAAGGTTTCGGATCGTTGGGGCTTTGATTGGCCAATTGATCGTTTATTTTGTCCACGCTACGTTCCAAAAATTTCATTGTATCTCGACTCTGTGGCTTCTGTTTTGCCAACTCCTCGTTTAGCTTGTCCACGGTGCGACCCAACCGCTCCATTTTCTCTTTAAGCTCTTTTTCTGTTTTAAGCAAATCGTCTGCATTCGCTTTATCCTTTTGCTCCTCAGCCGTAATTTCCTCCTCCTTTTTGATGGCTGCACCATCTATGGTCTGCTGTGCAGCTATTTCCATGGGCTGAGAAACTTCTTGCTTAGCGGGTGCCACATTCACTGCAGCCTCATCTGTTCTAGTCACGTTGTTCTTTACAACTAATTTTGTTTCTTTTGCTGCTGGTTTGGGTTCTTCTTTTGTTAAACTTTCAGACTTTTCTGGTGGCGGTTCGTTTTTCGAATCCACGCCATGGGATTCGTCGACGGGCAGTGGCGGCATCGGTGGATTGTCGGAAACAGCGACCACATTGTTTGGCTTTTCGACAGGCTTTATGCTGTCTGCGCCCCGCTCATGTTTGCTATCTTCCAGTTTTCCTAATACTTCTTTGACTTCAGCCTCGTTGGTTTTCACTAAGTGTTTGATTATTTCGGAATTTTGTAAATTAGGAACCTCAGCGGGTGGTGGGATTTCGTTGGGCAACAAAGGTGTCACTACTTGCACTCCGTCGAATTGCGGCCCAGAGCTCTGAGCATCGATGGCGTTCAGGTTGGCATATGTGCCAAGTATCATCAGGCAAAAGCCGCTGACAAACACAAACTGTGCCAAGGTGCGTTCCGTGGATTCCTTTCTAATGATTTGTCGAAAACTTGACGCCGGGAACATAATGCAAATGGCAACGCCTATAGTGGAGCCGACCAAGCCAATGATTAGCTCCACAGAGGGAATTACGAGCGCCACACAAAACGAGAAGAAAACGATAAAGAGTGTTATCAATCGGAAACGCTGCTCGGGTATATAATTGGTGCTCTCCATGTGTCCCTGTTATGATTGTGTATAATAAAGGTATTGAGTATTCGGTATTTATATATATATTTATTTTCTTACCTTTTTATATAGCAAGGAGTAGATGCTGGCTCTGCATGGAAATATAACCAGAGGAAAGCTGAATGCAATTGAGAGCACGAATCCAATTTTGATCACATCACTGCCGAACGAAGGCGACAGATTTATCAAGATATTGCCTGCAAAGTAATACATTATATATTATCTGTAGGGGCTATCACAAGTGTATAGAATATACCCGAAAAGCTGTGCGTGCAGAAAGCCACATAGCCAAAGAAGCCGACAGCTATGTACACTAGTGTACAAATCCAAGTCGCATTGCGTACAATGCCATTTAGTTTGTCCAAACTTTGGTTGTTTATGCTGCCGAAAACCTCAAAAAGTTGCCTGCAATAAAAGATTTTCTGATTACAATTAGAATTTAAGGTAATTTCGCATTATACTTGCATTTGGCAGGCTAGGGCCATGCTGAAGATGGGCAGGCATTGGAGAATACCCGCTGGCTCCCAGTAGACGACTTTCTCTGGCCAATCGTTGGCAACAATGTGCGACTCGGACTCGAGCACAATCTTTAACATTAGGCAAACATAGAATCCAATGGAGGCAGTGCAGACAGCCGACAAGCTGTCTACGTTGCGCAGCATGCCCAGCGGCACAATGCACAGGACGGTCACCGCAAACATGACCAAGGTGCGCAGATGTTGGTATTCCGCAATCTCCAATGTGAATAGCTTGGCGACAATCTGCGGTCCCAGGTCGCCGACGACAACAAAATACGTTATGCATGTGCCTATCAGATAACCAATGATGCAGAGTTCTGCTAGAAGTTTACCGGATGTGCCGAAAGCGTGAAGACCAAGCATCTCGAAACTTTTGCGACGTGTCAGCAGCGAAGTTTTGATCAGATAGTGACAACAGATGCGTGTGATCCAATTGCTGAGTATCAGTAATACTATTGACAGGATAATGCCGCACTTCTGGAAGCAGAAAGGCATGGCCAAGATGCCGACACCAATAATGCTATTCGCAAGCGTCATAACATGGCCCGAATGCGAGAACATGATGCAATTCGCTTTCACTTCTGTTCGGTAATGAATTGAGCAAAGTTGCTAAATAAATAGATCAGCTACTTTTTGTTAGCTGTGAGACCGGGTATCTGTGTGCGTAGGCAAAAAAAAAGCAAAAAAAAAAAACAGAAACAAAGAGATAGCTTCACATCGCAACTCAGAGGCAAACACATTTACATACCTGGGGCTCGATTGTTATCACAAATAGAAGGCGCCAGTTGTACAAGCAAAGACAAATTGTTGAAATCTAAGGCAGTTGGTGTTTGAGTTGGCTGGTTAACGAATAGTATGACGAAACGCATTAAATACTATTTCATGAAGAAATTTCGCTTCGCAGTTGTGTACATTTTACGTACAATGTGAAATTCGGTAGCGTTTTAAAGCATAATTTTGGTAACGTCAGCATTGTTTGGGTTTCTGCTCGTCCAACTCTGCACAGCTGATGCTGTTGCGGATGTGTACGTGACGATATCTTTTTGAACGAGTCACGTTAATAGTGACACCAATTCGTACAGTATCAGTTAGTTCAGTCGACAATAGAATATATAGTTCAAATTTGATTATTTCATTGAATTCCCTAATACCATACTAACGCATTTTGCTAGTGTATAGATTTATGAAGCATTCTTATTCCTTTTAAGCACTACATTTTACATTTTAGGTTGCGAATAATTGACCGCATCTCTGGATTAAGACAATGTGACCAAACTTACACACAGAAAATACAAAATCTGGCAGCGCCATTATTTTGAGTCTGGTGGCAACGCTGCTTGATATGTTTCTTTCCGTTCCGTAGACTGCAAACGTCAAGATGGCCGATGTAATTTTTGTGCAAAAATCTAAAAAAATATTAGGCATCAGTGTGCAGAACTGCAAAAGTTTTTAATATTTACAATATCCAACGCGTTGCGCATGGTTGCCAATATTATTTTAGAGTTTTGAGTGCTACATTGCATGCAAGATTTGCATCCAAAAACTACTAATATACGTACATTGTTTTTCTTTTTTTTTGACACAAACAGCAAGTTGATGAAACTCTTAAGAAGAAGCGTACCTTCAAGAAGTTCACCTACCGTGGTGTGGACTTGGATCAGCTGTTGGATATGCCCAAGTAAGTAATGGTACTCGGTATCAAGCGGCGTCCCAAAACTAACCTCACTGTTTCTTCTGTACCATTCGTGCGCAGCAACCAGCTGGTGGAGCTGATGCACAGCCGCGCCCGCAGGCGTTTCTCTCGCGGTCTGAAGCGCAAGCCGATGGCCCTGATCAAGAAGCTGCGCAAGGCCAAGAAGGAGGCTCCCCCAAATGAGAAACCAGAGATCGTGAAGACTCATCTGAGAAACATGATCATCGTGCCCGAGATGACCGGCTCCATCATTGGCGTTTACAATGGCAAGGACTTCGGCCAGGTGAGCCATAGCTTAAATATTGACAAATGAGTGAGGAACTAATATCGTTTATTAAAACAGGTCGAAGTTAAGCCTGAAATGATTGGCCACTACTTGGGTGAATTCGCGTTGACCTACAAGCCAGTTAAGCACGGTAGGCCCGGTATTGGTGCCACCCACAGCTCACGTTTTATTCCCCTCAAGTAAGCGACGATTCGTCTGCAAGAGTCATCGGCTGCTTGTGTGGGCTGGGACTGTTTTTGGATTTTTACGCGTAATAAAGGAAACGTAATTTTTTAAGAACGTAATGTTGCCTTTCAATTACCTTTGCTGTGCACAGAGAGAGAGAGTAAACTGCTGGAGTGTTAACAAATTTACGTTTAATATTTATTGGAACTTGCAAATTGTATATATATTGTATGGATTTATGTGTAGTTGAAGCTATCTTCGCTTTCGCGCGCTATTGCTGTTGGTGACCACCACACGGTCGTATGCCGTGTCCTTCATATTTGAATTAGATTCACGTGTGCCGTTGTAAACCATCTGCCGTGGCGCATTATTGTGGGCGTGCAGATGATTTGGTTTCATAGTCTCGTTCACATCGGCCGATCCATAAGCGCTGTCTTTGACTTGAGAATCATTGTGGAAGCGATTAAAATAATTCGATTGCATTGCAGGAGGCAGCGCAGCAGGCGCTACAGGATTAGACAGCACTGGGAGTTGAGCGAGCGATTGGAAGGCATTAGTCAAGCCTGTAAAAGTCACCGTCTTGTTCTGATTAGTTTTGTTACCAATATTGTTATTGCCGCCCATAAAGAAGGCGCTGCCATTTGGCACTTGGCTGCTCTGCAGCGGCTGTAGGGGCTGCAGGCTCTGGTTATTGTTGTTAAAAGCGGTGTAGGAGTTGGCATTGTCAATGGCAGGCATGCTGGTGTACATGGCCGTTTGGAGCGAGTCGGACTTGGAGCGCTGAAGAATACTCTTGGTGGACGCCCGGGTGCCAACGCCAATGGAGTTCTTAGCAGGAGTGGAGGAGTGCACGCCGTGCGGCTCATCGAGCGAGGTTAGTAGGCTGCTGCTCTGTGACTGATTGAAAAAGCCGTCGACTTGGAGAAGTGCTGGCTGACCCTTACCTAGGCGGTTCAGCTCCATTTCCATTGAATTGTAAATGGTCAGATTGCTGGCCAGCATGTCCTGCCTTGAGCCCAGGGTCAGCAAACTGTCCGCGTTGTTGAGCGTCGATGTTGAGGCCAGGTTAACAGACTTGGACGAGTGCATAGCCATGCCCATTTCGCTGGGTCCCTGCTGCAGTGCACCCGTGCGTGGATCAAAGTGCTTTTGCGTGGCATCTTTAAGTGTGCTCTTGATTTCCTTGAGCTTTTCCGGCTGCTGTGGCTGTCGTATGGAGGATATGTGACCGGGCACGGGCTCACGTGAAACTGACGACGATGGCGATGCTGAGTTCGTCTCCTCGTTTTCCTCCTGCAATAGCAAAGTGGGATTATTGTGGGCATGCGGTCGTCGATTGTTGAACTTACTTCGTCTTCTTCTGTGATAATGGACGACTCTATCCAGTCTTTTATCCTATTCTTTTTCTGCAGGCGATCCACATTGGTCTCGATGCCACAGTCAGCCAATGTGTACAGCAGGCGATTCTTCTCGTCTGGACTGCTGTGAAAGGAATACATTGAGGGGCATAGTTCGTCTGTTTCATATTCGGCCATCTCCTTCTCCGCCGTCTTGGCCAGCCAGCGATCATCCATGAACTTGCTCAAGTCACCCAGGCTCTTAGGCCTGTTCCCGCTGCGTGGCTCCAGAAAACGTTTAAACATTCGCTGCGCACGCGATGTCAGCAGCTGGAGAACAGAAGGTATACATATATATAGTAATTAAGGATCACAACTACCTGGAAAGTACCTTAAAAAGTTTGGGTGTTCGTCGCAGTGGCATCATCATTATGCTGCCCTGCCACACCAGATAGCGCACATAGCGCGGATCCTCTGAGGATGCCTTTTGCCAGGGCAGGCAGCCCGTGAGACAGACGAATATAACGATGCCGAACTGCCAAACATCGTGACTGGGATCGGCTCTTGAATGGAAACATATATATATGTATATAGTTATTTATTATCATATATAGAGGAGGCTATTCACTTGTAGGTGCCTTCGGGCTTGACTTCTAATACTTCTGGCGGACTGTAGGGCAGCCATTCGTTGCGCCTCTCCACTACGGTACCAGTTTGATAGGACTCTCCGAAATCACAGAGCTTCACACGTTGAAAATCCGAACGATATATGAGCACATTATCCAGTTTAATATCGCGATGCACAATGTCTCTGTAAGAAAGGAGAGTTAAGAGCTCGATTATTAATATTATAATTACTGATATATATGCAGCTTAAATAATATATGATATCCTGATAGAGCACTCCATCGACTGGCTGCTACTTACTTTGAATGCATGTAATCTATAGCGGAGGCCAGCTGCTTAGCTATGCGCTTGCTGTACACCTCTCCCACACCTGTCTCAGTCACATTTGAAGTCAGATCACCTGGATGGAGAGCACACAGACAGATTTAAATAGACGCCCTTACTTTGACCAGCTGCATACATACCCAGCGGCGCATACTCCTGGGTGAACACATAGAAGCCAGCCGTCTCAAAGGCCACGTCGTATGTGGTCACAATGTGCCGATGGACGCCCAGGTGGAGTCCGTAGTGGAACTCGCGATAGAAGTCGCGCAAGGTGACATAAGGCTTAGGAACTGCCTTGAGCACCATTTCCGTCTGAGATCCACGATGCTCCACTAGCAATATTTTGCCAAACCAGCCTTCGCCAACAATTTGAATGATATCGAACTCATCCACCAGTTGTATCTGAATGCAGCGAGAAAAATATTATTTTGATTATTTTGCTTTGCTCCGAATTTGCTTTGTTTTCATATGTTTTCCATTAGAGCAGATGTTTAGTACCTGCCCCAAATTCTGGCTAACTGCACCTCCATGACACGGTTCGATAATTGCCTAATATATACGATATTTATGTATATATATATATATCGCAGTCGTGAGACCAGACATATTTAATGTTACTCTATTTTTGACATTCTCTGTTTGCTGCCCAATAAAATGAGTTCGCTTTCTTATACTTTGCCTTCTGGCTCGGGCCGCGTTAACTATTAGCTGAGCGAAGAGATTTCTGGCCTTGTGCCAATTGAAACAAAAATTCTAAATCTCTACCCTAACCGAAGTTTGCATGCCCTACATAGCCAAATACATTGCTGAGGAAATAAATCTTGCGATTAAATAACATTTTTATTAAGTTTTTTCTATTAAAAAATGGAATAAATATAGTTATAGAAAATAAATATATAAAATATAAATATATATTTTTATTTTATAATTTCCTATGAAAATCGATAAAAAAATAACTAAGCCCAAACACGTGTCTTTAAACAAACAATAAAGAGCAATAATTATATACAAAATTATATATATATTTGTCAGAAATCCCATTCAAAATATTTTGTATTATTTGAATTACTGAAAATGCAAAATGTTTCTATGTGGCCAATGGATTGAGTCAATACATTTATGTGTTCGCCTGTCTGATTATTCATTTATCAATCTTTCCGTCTGATTATTATGTTTCGCATACGTTTTTTTACGCAATTTTATTGCAGACAAATGAATACATAAGGAAGTTCAAACGCACAATAAGAGGCAATATGGATCTAATAAATTATATATATATACATATATAAATATATACAAATATATGTATATATATATATATATATATATATATATATATATATATATATATATATATATATATATATATATATATATATAATTTTGCTTTCTTTTTATCTGTTAAAGACAATATAAATAAAAATAAACAAATATTTGTTTTAAAATTCAATTTGTGTCTGATTGTTACTATGTATATATATTAAAAATATATAGAAAAAAATTAAAATAAATAAAAAATTTGGATTGTTTTTAAACTTTTAAATAAAATAATAAATATAAATAAACAAATATTGGGTTTAAAATTCAATTTGTGTCTGATATACAAGCTAAGCACATAAACTATATATACATACATATATATATATATATATATATATATATATATATATATATATATATTATATTATGTTATATATAAATGTTATGTGTGATTAATTTCGTTAGTAACAAACAGACACAAATATGTATATTTTTTTGGTTAAAGAATTAAAGTTAATTCCAAAAAGAACTTTCATTTTCATATTAAAAACTCTTTAGTCATGATTCTTAGATGAACTAAGATGATGAAGTGTATAATGTAGGTATGAAATGTTTTATATACATATATTATATCTCATTCATCTGAACTTTTGAAACATTCACGAAGCTAGCCTCAGATGTAACAAAGAGATCTTATATAAAATTATATTTTAAGTCTTTATAGCGATTAGGTTTTGATTAAGAACAAGCTATATTATATGCTCCTAATCCATATAAGTTATATCTAATAAAAGATAAAATGCTATAAAGAGGATAAGTTATATTATATATAAGCCTTCTCACATGGGTTATTATTATAAAATCTAAGTCGTTATAAAGACTTTCATATTTGTATTTATAGTCTATATAGAACATAAGTCTATTTGTAAGCTTTAAAATAATATATTTTGTTACAGAAGTTGAATGTTTTTCACCATGTCAAGAGTCAAGAAAAAAAAAAATATATATATATATATACATATATAATATATAAAATAATAGTAGACATCTATTCAATATATATTACATTGATTAAGCTTTCCTGTCAAATCTCTAATTACCAAAAAACAACCAAAACAATATGAATAAATCCCATTTTAATGACTCTCCAGCTGTTTCTAAATAGCTCATAAATATACATATGTTATCTTTGTGGGGGGTTGCTTGTGCATTATTGGATTTGGAAATGCGTCGAGCAGATTTGAAAGATTTACAACAAGCTTAGCCACATATACAGAGTCTAGGGGGCACGTTACCTTTTCCAGTTCGAATTCACGAATCTTGTGTATGTGCCCTCGGGGTTTCTTCGACATTCTGGCTGCAGTTTGTTCACATGGGTTGTATTAGCTATAGTATTGCGAATGTTTTTGGAGTGTGGCGGTCGGATACAGTTAGTTGACCATTAGTTTCAGCTCAAAGAACTTGTGTTGTAGACGCACACTAGACAGCAAAGTAGAGAAACGATTTTCGAATTAAATTTGTTTTTATTTGTTTTGTTTTCCGTATGAGCAGCAGCAACGCGTTGTAAATATTTATAGCGGCTGCACAAAGGCAATCAGAGTACATATAGACCAGTTCCCATATGTATATATAGATATAGATATGTTATATATACATCTTTGTCGGCCTATTTGTATCTTTATGCATTCGCTGCGCGCGTTTTAAAAAAATGCAAAAGATAAATTTCTGGTGAACCGTTTGGTCTGTATTGTTCTGCACTTCCTGGAAAATGGGCGCCAAATTGCATTTTTTATTAATTAATACATTTAACAATATATTTACTTAAAGCTATATATACCATAAATATATATATATATATATGTTTGCAGCTCACATTAGCTGTCAATCGGCTTAAGTTCAATGTTATTTCGTTGCTGATATATATATAGATATATAGTTTTAGCTGCCGCAGCTATTGTTGCTGTAGTTGTTGTCAAACAAATATTTAATTGAACCGTCTGCACACACACTCACTCACACACATAGCTCTGTCTCATACAGTTGCAAATAGAAATGTATTTTGTTTAGTTGAGACAACGTTTTGCCTAGGATTTTGGTTTTTGTGAAATTCGTCTCGTTTCTTTTCTATTCTTTTGCCTACACATTTGCATATTATCAACAGCGAAATTAAAAATAATGCTCGTTGCCTCTTATATAAAATAACATAAACCGACAGTTGACCAACACACTCAGATATATCTATATCATTCACAAATCGTTTCTTTTACTGCTTTCATTTGTTAACTAGTTTTTGGAACTGCTTGCAGTTCACATTAGATTTTCCACGGATTCTCTCTTGATAATTGTATTAAGTAAGTGCGTTGCACGGATCACAATGCGTTTTTTGGCTTTTTAGTTTTGCATTTTCCGTGGCCGCATTCGATGAAAACCCGTCGCCAACTGCTCTCCGAGTCACGGCTCTCGCGGCTTTTGTCGCTGGCCAGCAAAATGTATTGAAAATGTTTAAAAAAAGACATTTTGTTTACGCCGTTTTCACTTGAGTTCTAGGTGTGTGAGCATTTTCGAAATCATTTTCAGTTTTTCGAAACATTCTTGAGCTTTGCGAGAGCGAACCATCAATAGTTCTGCTTATGCCGCTCATGTCTGTGTTGATCTCTGATCGTTGATCTTGCAAGACTTTTGATCAAAATCGTGCATGTTCTACATAGAGCCAAATATTTGTGTTTGCTTTTGTCAATATTTATAATCTGATTATTTATTTATATATATTTCATTTGAAAACATAAAACTATCTTAAGTCATGCCCAGATATCAGACAAATTTCTCTTAATAATTCAAACATTTCATACTAATGCATTTTCTGTCAGTTAACAGTGGCAGAGCACTACACACGAGCTAGTTAACAGAGCGCTGTTAAGAAAAAGCTCAGCATCTGGCGGGCACAAGCTTCGCGGCTAACATAAAGCATGTTAAACTCACTGTACATATGTACACATGCATACACCAGCACATGCAAGCTTCATGTATACACTCACACTGACACGCACACATGCACACACAGCTGCGTACATACGCACAAAGGCAACTCTAATTGGTCACTTCCGTTTTGAAGACGTTTCCTTGGCGCATGCGACGTTCAACTTCAGCAGTTGCTGCGTTTGACACACTCACACACACGTACACTTGTGGCTATGTGTGTTTGTCTGTGTGAGTGTGGGGAGGGTGCAGGTGCAGCCAACCACTTGTCGCAGGCTATAAAAGTCACTGGCATAGAGCATTTGCCTGCATACGTTTGAATGTTACCGTTAGCGCAACAACTGATTTTATTGGTGTTGCCCAATTCCTAGTTCTGAGAGCTACATCAAATAGGTTACAAGTTCTACGGACAGTGCAAAAATATGTGTACTTATTGAAGTGTGCAAATAACTGGATTGCTATCGGGTGTTCTGAGCCGCTCTTCATTAACATTTTTTGCATAGTTTCTTTGTGAATTTGAGAATTGTTGAAAACTATGGATTGGCTAAAGTGTGTGATTTAAGGTTTTGGAAACTAGCAGGTATGTATGAATAAGGTGTACTCAAGTTAAGAAGTGTAATTAATTTACATAGATAAGTGAATTTATTTTTTTGTTAAGCATGACAAAAGTTCTACTGAATTTTAGATGAATTAATGAAAAATATTTAGTTATTTAATTATAAAATATTTAAGTGCACAAATTAAATATGTTATATATGGCTATAGCTATAAATGTATAAAAATTTACAAATATATATATATATTTTTTTTATTGTTATGTATTATATAATTTTTATATATTTTTCTGTATTACAATTATAATTTTAATTTATATTTAAAATGGCAGTTGAACTCTTGACCGAATTACTTTCATTGAAAGTTAAGAATATATGTATATAATTATATATAAAATAAGAAAAAAATTAATCAAAACATATAAGATTAATTAAAAAAATTAATATATAATTTTATTTTATATTATTTTATATTTAATTAGCAATACAACATAATTTTGACATTTTAATCCGCTATAGAAATTGAAAATTTTTGGACTACATATTTTTTGCAAAAAGAAGTTAAGTAGGGCTTGTTAAATGCAAATAAATTTATATTATCTTAAACAGCTTAAATATCAATGAATTTAGAGTACATGCTCTTTTTTGATCAAGAAATTTATTAACTCATAAAACATTCTACGCAGAAATTTATTGACTTGTCAAAAAATTTACAAGACTTATTATTAAAATTATGAAAAACTAATAAAGTCTTGGCATATAAAAATAAATATCTCACTTTTAATTATTTATAGAAAATCTTATAAATTTCTATAAAAAGCATTTTTGTTATATTTTAATTATATTTGTAATATTCGAAGTAAAAAATGTCCAATATATAAAATCTGATAGAGTGAAGCTTTACATCAAGCCAAATCAAATCAACGTCTTTTACAAAAATAGCCACTGATTTAATATATTTTATATTCAGATTTAAAGTCAGATTCGAGATCTTCAGAGCTGCAGCTGTGCTAATTTTTTTAATTGAATCGTGAGGCTTGCTTGCCTTCAATTGAGCTCGCAGCTCTGGGCATGAAATTAAGCTAATGCGCGAACATTTAATTGGAGCAATTAATTATGTTAAGAGTTGAAAGAGAACACACACATATAATACATATAATACATATATACATGCATATATATATATAGATCAAATATGCTGTGTAACATGCTTGAGCACAATGAAAGTAAACTGAGATTTGTCGATGGGCAAACCGATGCTTTATGTACGATTCGTTTGGTTTTTGTGCTGTAATTGTCAAGTGCTTGTGTATGCGGCCGCCACACGTCGTATGCGTAATATACGAACAAGCACTTGAAGCTCGGGCTAGAGAGCACGTCGCCAAACAGAATTCGAGTGCTATGGACATTTCACCAACACACACTCACACGCACGCACACACAGACAGAGCTCAATTGAGCATCAAGTGTCGGCTTAAACACTTAAGCAGCGCATCGAAATTCTCGTATGCCACAAACATGCGAAATATTTTCAATATATGGCAAAAGGTGAAACATGATTGAGGTTTAATCTAGCGCTTTCAATTAATATGTAATATAACTAATTTTGCCTTAACATTTATTATTCCATTTGCTGCGTAGACTTGGCGTGCGACGGCGGCGGTGACGGCGACGGCAACTAAAACGACGACGACGTTTTGGCCTGGGATTAGGACATCGTCGCAACGGCGATGTCACCGACCGGACAAATAGCAAAGACGCCCACGCCACACGACAACGATAACAATAGCAATAACGATCAGCGTGAAACATGGAGCGGCAAGGTGGATTTTTTATTATCGGTTATTGGATTCGCCGTCGATTTAGCAAACGTCTGGAGATTTCCCTATTTGTGCTACAAAAATGGCGGTGGTAAGTGGTCATAATAGTTAAATCATTTTATCTACTCGACTTCACTTAGCCCAACTGTCCCTGGCCAATGGGCCAATGGGCCAATTAGAGACACAGTTGCATGAACAATGCCACAAAATCATTTATAAGGCTTTACACATCATTGAGCGCCAAGGAACTCACTCGAGCTGCTGCTGCCGTTGCTGCCGTCGCATAACAAGTGACTTGGCCTTGTTAACACTTTGACAAGTGCTGGGAAAATGCGTGCGAAGTGCTGCCATTAAATGCGGGCTACTCGGCTTGGGCGTCGGGCGAGAGGTTGGGGTGCTAAGTGCGTACTTCCTATACGAAATTACCCAGAGTCCAAGGCACACACACACAGAGAAGAAGAGAGAGAGAGAGCGAGGGCATAAGTTGATACATATGCTTAGACTTGTGATCTTCGTTGGCAACGCCATCATTCAAAACAATTTCAAAGTTAAGTGCTTTTGTATGACAACTAAATCTGGCAGTCATAATCGCATTTGGGCTCCTTTACCTCCTTTGCCGCAATCTGACAGCGAGTGACTAAGCATGGGGCAGGACATGCTTTCTAGGCTTTTATTGTTGGCGACACGCACACACACATACATATGTATCAAGCACATCAAACTCATGACATATATATTTATATATATATATATATATATCATAATACGCATTGTTGGAAATTCATGTGCGGCACACGTTTTGACGGCGGCACTTAGGCGTTGAAATGAATTTTCCATTCGTAAATCAGGATATATGTGGTCGCTAGAAGTATGTGTGTGTGTGCGAATGCCTTTGCTGGTTTGCCTTTTCCTTTATAGTTTTATGACTATTTCATATAGTATTTTGTTGTCGTTGCTGCTGCTGCTTCTGCTGTTGCGCTGGCCTTTGCCACAAGCTTTTTTCTCAGCTCTTAAAAAATAAATTGTTATTTCATACGCTTCATTGCACTCAATCAGTGACAGCTTAGTTTTCATTTTCATTTTCATTTTCATTTTATATCATTTTTTGTGTCGTTGCCGTTGCCGTTGCCAGGCTTAACTTGCCGTCGTAGTCGACGTTGCAGCAACAGCAGCAGCCTCGTCCACAGGTTGCGATTATTAGCTTTTAATGCCCTCCCAGCTTAGTGGGCATTTAATGTTTCCTCTCCTTTTCCAGCACAGCCACAGATGAAATACCTCGATTCTGTCTAGTTGGCTATGGCTCTGCCGTACATTAAGTATATATCCAGTGTCATATAATCTGAGTTTAAGTCAAAACTTCTCATTTGTTAAATGTCATCGTTGGTTTTAGTTGTTGAAAGAAAGGAAGTTGTTAAATAAAGGAAAGGGCTTTTTGTGGCTTTTTGCACTTAAATATTGTCATTAGCTATATGATTATTAATTCAATTATTAATATTAGCTGCAGTAAGCAAAGACTCTGCAGCTCTGAGAACGACTCAAACAGGCGAGCAGGTGAAATCATGTAAGCAGATGCTTGACAAATATAACTCTAGCAAAGACTGGTAGTAGTTTGCTTAGAAAAGAGTCAACTTATGTAAGATTTAATTTAAGTTAATTCAATAGCTAAATTTTTGCAGAGATCAGCAGAGCTGTTACCTCTTTCAGCTCTCGCTTTCCTACTGATCCGAGTCCGAAACAATATTAAACTTAAACCTAATTGTGCTTACTATATTCAATGTTAAATTAAGTAGCATATAACAAGGTTTCGGACTGTATTTTGAAGCTACATCCATGAGCAGCGCTGTTAAATAGCAAATGGAAATAGTCTCAACTCTATTTAATCGTTTATATAAAAATGTATCAAATTGTAAGAATTCCTATAGAGTTATGAACATGTTTTATATTTCATGAAGATGCATCTCAAATATAATATAATTTACAATATAATTTTTATCTGCAATAAAACCGATTTTTCATCTGAATGCGTTTCAAATATCTAAACATAGTCAAGTGGCTTACTTAGCAGTTGGAAGGTTTTTGAAAGCAGCTGACTTGAATCATGCAAATATTTATTTAGTGCTTAAATAAGAAATCAAAAGAATCCTATATGACTGGAATTAGATATCGACATTTTATAATTTATCAAGGATATGAAACGTTTTTTTTAATATTGAAGTCATCTTCATAATTGCTGTGAATTGTTGTTAAATAACTTTTATAGTACATCCATCAGTATGATGATGATGCGAAATATCAGTAATCAAATCAAATCAAATCAGAAATCCGTAACATTAAAGGATTAATTAGAATCAATAATTTCCATATAATCAACCTTTAATGAATCAGAATATAACACAAACGAAAATTTATTTAAAAAAGCTGATATTACAAGTGTGATTATAGGATTATACATCAGATCAACTAGATATATTCTTAAGTTTCAGTTTCTGTCAATGAATTTGCAGCTCTTGAAGTGCTGTCAAAATGTTTGCTATCAAACTTCAATTGACTTCTATTTGTATGTTGAAAACGCTCTTTAATTGTAAGTTTATTATGGTAATCAATTTTGTACACTTCTTTGTGCTAAAAATAGCCATGGGAAAGCCGGAAGTGGTGGGCGAGGCGACGGAAATTACAGCTTCAGCGGCAGAGCTGCATTTGATTTTAAGATCCTTATCTTGTGAGGTATTATTTTACGTTTTGTTTTACATTTTCTCCATAATTGACAGCACAGTGTTCAAGCGACTTTTTTCAGCTATACACAGATGTGGGTGTGTGTGGATGGGTGTGTGTGTTTGTGTGTGCGAATATGCATAATGGCCGTTGTTGCCGTAGTCGTAGTTGTCGACGACTTTGTCGCCCACTTTGCCTGCTAATAGACATAATCAAATCATAAAACGCCCCGCTGTCACTCAACAAAGTATCGATGGCACTTTAGCAATTGCCCGAGCAGGCGGAGCAGGAGGCCAACCGACCACGTCGACTGCATGAGACAGCCAAGCCGAGCCGAGCCGGAGCAGACCAGACCAGACCAGACCAGGCCAGGCCAGAACAGAGCAAAGTGGAGTGGTGCCGAAAGGAGAGGCAGCTCTCTGTGTGTGCCCATGTCCTTATACACGGGCGTGTGTGTGTGTGTGTATGCTTGTCCCATTGCCAGCCGGGATGCTGTTAATGTTTTTAAAATGTCCTTAGAGTGGCACTTGTGAAACAATTTGATTTTGTGTGTATCTGTGAGCTGGTGTGTGTCTCTCTGGGTGTGTATAGAGCGACAAAAACAGACACTGACACGGGTCAATCACACACTCATACTCTTTCCTACACACACACACACACACACATAGACTCTTGCAGAAACACCCATCATACATTGTTATTCATAATATTTATAGTGCCTCGGGTGTTGTTAAATATTATAAAACTTGATTGCGCTTTAATCAAAGCGCCACTGCCCAATCCAACTTTGTTGCTGGCAAACTCAGTTTCCTAGCTAATGAATAATTGAACTTAGGAGCGGTCAGAGATTGAAATTTGATATGATAATAAGATTTTTGTTACTATTCAGTTTGCTCTTATTATTATTGTTATTATTATTATTTTTATTATTATTATTATTATTATTAAAGATGCAATTTGATGATGTGATCAAATGTATGTGTGTAGCATATATAGTCTAGATCAGGGCAGTTAGTTTAAGTCGGCCTGTCTATGTATCTTTCTGATTGTGCTGGTGATCAAGCATCTAACATTGTAGTTAAGAAATAATACTATATAGAAGGGAAAGAAGAGAAGCAAATAGATGATCAGTTGAGGTAGGCGAGTGGGTGTGCAGAAGTATGTGCTGGTAATTGTATTAGTAGATACTTGAAACAGCAGAAAGCTGAAATGATCAAGTTTAGAAACCAACTCAGAGAAAGCTAAAAGAGTTGAGCTTCACTTTAAGTGGATCGCGCTCTATATAAAGACTGCCTGCTAACCTCATGCTGGCTCAGGCCTTCTTCGCTTCTTTGGTATGTGGTACATATTTAAATAGTTAATCAGAGTTATAAATACTATATTAAGCAGAGTTGTATTATAATATAATATTTATACTTTTATAAGAATTATCCTAATCATAATAGTCAACACAATCACAGATTAAGCACATTTCTGCCGTCTCTTAAATAACTTTTTGCAGTTCTTTAACAAGTATAGGGTATCAGCGAGTTGAGCACGCCCGAATACTGCAGTCTCAATTTAAATGAATGCATTTCTGAATTAATTATGTGGCAATGTTTTTTGAATAACATATTCAATTGTAATCGAATATGATTCATAACTGAATTTCCGTCAAATTTCGGTCTACTTCAACTAAAAACTGAATAAAAACTAAAGCTTAAGGCCCATCTATAGCTTATGCTATGCACTTTTATGCAATATTCAGCTGATTACCATTATTCATATATATGTTCGCAGGCGCCTTTCTTGTGCCCTATTGCATTATGTTGGTTGTGGGTGGAATACCGCTGTTCTACATGGAGCTGGCCCTGGGACAGCACAATCGTAAGGGCGCCATCACGTGCTGGGGGCGTTTGGTGCCGCTATTCAAGGGTAACTATACGCGATTTAGCATAAACATAGGTCTGCCCGGCTATTCAAAATTGCATCCCCTAGGCATTGGCTACGCGGTTGTGCTAATTGCCTTCTATGTGGACTTCTACTACAACGTGATCATTGCGTGGTCGCTGCGTTTCTTCTTCGCCTCCTTCACCAGTGTGCTGCCATGGACGTCGTGCAACAACGTGTGGAACACGCCCAATTGCAAGCCGGTAAGGTCCATTGAGTATAGCTTCATTTCATATTACTGACTCTGAAGTGTGTGTCGCAGTTCGAGGGCCAGAATACGCGTCCTTTGGTTGGCAATCTGAGCGACTTCTATGCCTTCAACAATCAGAGTCTTTTCTTTGCGAATGAGTCATATACGAATGTTACATTTGCCAGCTTGGCACCCGTTGTGCCCGTGGAGAGATTCCAATCGGCTGCTTCCGAGTACTTCAAGTGAGTGGCACACACACAAAGACACACGCACACACACTCACACACACACATCTGATTACACTCATTCTGCACTTCTATTTTCAGCCGCTACATACTTGAGTTGAATCAAAGTGAGGGCATCCACGATCTGGGCAAGATACGCTGGGACATGGCTCTGTGTCTGCTCATCGTCTATCTGATCTGCTACTTCTCGCTGTGGAAGGGCATAAGCACCTCGGGCAAAGTGGTCTGGTTCACGGCGCTCTTTCCTTATGCCGTGCTACTTATACTGCTGATACGCGGCATCACCTTGCCGGGCTCTGCCATGGGCATTCAGTATTATTTGAGTCCCAACTTTGATGCCATCTACAAGGCCGAGGTGTGGGTCGATGCTGCCACCCAGGTGTTCTTCTCCTTGGGTCCAGGATTTGGCGTGCTTCTCGCCTACGCATCCTATAACAAATATCACAACAACGTTTACAAGTAAGTCTAACTGTCAGGAAGAGTTCAGTCTATGCTTACGTGACCTTTGTGTGTGGTAGAGATGCGCTGCTCACGAGCTTCATCAACTCCGCAACGAGTTTTGTCGCTGGCTTCGTGATATTCTCCGTGCTGGGCTACATGGCGCACACGTCGGGCGTGAGAATTGAGGATGTGGCCACCGAGGGACCAGGCCTGGTGTTTGTCGTCTACCCAGCAGCAATCGCAACGATGCCAGGCAGCATTTTCTGGGCGCTAATCTTTTTCATGATGCTGCTTACGCTCGGCCTGGACAGCTCGGTAAGTATTTAGCTGGCCTCAAAGACAAAGATTAACTTTGGGGCTTACCTTGTTGGCAGTTTGGTGGCTCGGAGGCTATTATCACGGCACTGAGCGATGAGTTTCCCAAGATCCGGAAGAATCGTGAGCTCTTTGTGGCCGGGCTGTTCTCGTTGTACTTTGTTGTCGGCTTGGCCAGCTGCACTCAGGGCGGCTTCTATTTCTTCCATCTGCTGGATCGCTATGCCGCCGGCTACTCCATACTCGTGGCGGTGTTCTTCGAGGCGATTGCTGTCTCCTGGATCTATGGCACCAAGCGCTTCAGCGATGACATACGCGATATGATTGGCTTTCCGCCGGGCATGTATTGGCAGGTGTGCTGGCGCTTCGTGGCGCCCATTTTCTTGCTCTTCATCACTGTCTACGGCCTGCTGGGCTACGAGCCGCTGACCTATGGCGACTATGTCTATCCCAATTGGGCAAATGCCCTGGGCTGGAGTATAGCCGGCTCCTCGGTGACTATGATACCGGCCGTGGCCATCTACAAGCTGATTGTAACACCCGGCAGCTTCAGGCAGCGTCTGCGAACACTCACAACTCCGTGGCGGGACCAGCAGCTGGCGGTCAATGGCGTTGCCACCGAGGTGACTGTCACCCTGGTCCGCTTGGCCGACACCGAGGCAAACGATGCGGCCGATGTCTGAGTTCGACCGATGGCACGTTTTCAAATTTACTACGTGTAGGTTTGATAGTTTCCCAACAACTTCAACATTAGTATTAACCTTACCCTGAGTGTGTGAATCTATGTGTGTATTTTGCAACGGCAACAGCTCGAATTGTTTTATGTTACCTTTTCAGCTTAGCTCTTAGGCAACAGGCACTAGGAATCTAATGCAAATTTCGCATACAACGTACTTACTTAGGTTTCGACACCAAACATGTTGTAGCTCAAAACCATAAGCCTACAGTTAAGACTAGCCAGTAGTTTAATATGGCGCTGTGTTTACAGTGCTGCCAATAAATATATACACTCTACTCACATATACACGCAAACAAATACATAAACATATACATATATTATGCATACGATGTAAAGGTATGCTTGTATATTTACCAAAACGCTGTGTAGATAATACAGAAATATTTAAGTAAACAATTGTAATCGGTTCTTGAGCCATGTTCGCGCGTGGATGTCATTGTAATTGTGTGCATATGCAACAGGGAATTAGAGGTACGATTAGCTCAGCAGACCCGTAACTGGATGTCAGAGTTCGTATATGTACCCACATACACATAAATAGCTTTATTATATAGTATATCTGTGTAGCCGAAGCTTTTTGCCAGACATGTGTTGTGTATAGAAGGCAAAGCAACCAATAGCTTGCCACATAATTGGATAAAACAAACAACAAATACATATATATACATTTATATATATATAGATATATATATAAAACCCTGCCAAATAATTTATACGCTTAAAGGTTGAGCAAAGTCCTTTTCAAACAGCCATAAAAGGATTTTGCTCAGCTTATAGTATTTACATAATATATATTCATTCAGATTGTGGTTTCGTTAAGTCCTGATTGTTTGATTTCCAAATCCATCTTATTCCTAAGTGTTACCTTTGATAATGTTTAAACAAAAGCAAAGTTGGCAGCCATCAACTTTGCTTTGACTTTACTGCTTATGTTGATCCAGGTGATTTTCAATGCATTTTCACGCAGCCATGTGAAAGTGCAATGTGATGAACAAATATCAAATTGCAAACTACCTTTACTCAGTTAACTTCAATTAAATAATTGTATTTTGAGTTGGTATTAAAAAAAATTAAATGTGTTTTATTCTAAAATGGAAATTAGTTGATGTCATGATGAGGTGAGTACCAAAGTTGACTGTTGCTGAGGCTGTCTAACTTCTTGGGTAAATTGGTAGTCATTGATGAATAGATGAAGAGATCTTTATGTATCATATTCATGGACAAACATTTTTACATCAGGCTGAACATGCATTAAATGAAATAGACTCTTTTCACTTAGTGATATGAGGCTCTTCGTAGCTGTATCTTCAGCTTCCAGTCTATTCAGTTCTTCAGTCTGAATTGCTTTTTACTCTGCTATGCAGTCTACGCAGCTACAGTTTCCGCTGCTATGCAATCTACAATTTTACAGCTCTGGCATCTGTCTTTCCATGTTGTGCTGCATTCGTTGTTTATCACAGTCTTATGATAAATTTCTGACTAATTTTTAGCAAATTAAATTAATTGAATATACTATAAAAAGATATATGATACTCCATGTTAATAAGGCCAAATTATTGCTTGCTTTTGCTATTCACTAAAATTAAGTAAAACTCTTTTGCATTTGAAAATCAAGAAGAAATCATTTCATTTGCATATTTAAGGGCATTTTATTATTATTATTATTTCATAATTTATTTATGCTTAGTTTTCTTTTACATTTATAAAGTTATATAATAATTGTTTTTTTTTTTAATATAAAAATTGCAAATCAATTATAAATTTTTATAAGTAACTGAATGTATGACATTTATATAAACGATATATGAGAATTAATGTATTTTTGAATTAAAGCTAATCGGTTTGAATTAATGGAAATGCATCTGATTTGATAAGCAGCATTATTTTGATTTATATTTTGTGCGTAATTTTGAAAAGGGGCAAATTTTATAATTCATAGCCTCAATAAAGTAAGCATCTGTGTATGTGTGTCATGTATTTATGCATGTGTGTTTAGGGTATACAATATATTCGAGGTATAATTATTAGTATTTATTTTGAAATGATCTTATGCCCTTGCAGAGAATTCGGTATTTTTTTATGTTTTATTGAATTTTTGCTTTTGTTTTCTATATATTTTTTAATAATATTATTAATAAAATTTTTAATCAAATTTGACTTCAAATTAATAATCTTTTCAGGTAAACAATATATAAATTTTAACCTAAGTTAATCTTCCATAAGATGTTTCTTTTCTTTGTATATATATACTAGATGCTAAGCATAAAACCATACAAAATAATACATATAAAAAATAATTACACTTGAAGAAATCTGTATATCTCTCTGCAAGGGCATTAAATATTCGAATTGCCGCAAATAAATAATTTTTGTGCTTTTAAAAAATAGTTTGAGATTATTTTTGCATTAAACGGCAAATAATTAAATGTCAGGACAATTATTTATTTATTTCTTTATTTATGTTTTTTGTGCATTTTGTTTTAAATATTTATTTGTAGTGCATATTACGTATTTTGGTCTGTTTTAGGTGCCTTGAGGGGAAATTAGGTACACATTCCACAGGAGTGAACAACGAACTAGAATCTTTGTTTCTTATCATCTTACATATATGTATATATATATGCATACATACACAAATATATAGTACACATATATGTCTGATAGAAACTACGAATTGGAAATGCCTGAAAGTGCTCGATTTATATATGTTTAGCATATATATACATATATATATATATATATATAGATATAGATATTGTTTTGTAACATGGTATACTGTAGTATAATTTGTTCAGTTTATTTTTGTAAATATGCTTGAAGCTTGCTATAATATCTGATCGTTCAGTTAGCGTTTATACAACAGCAATTTTTGTTTTTTTCGTTGGTTTTTCTTATGTTTTGTTTGTAAGTTTGCCTTCTTAAATAACATTGTTTTTTTTTTTAAACTGTATGTATGTATGTTTCATATATATGTATGTAGTTGCATATTAAAATACCAATGCAAAATTAGAGAAGCTCAACACGGACTATTTTTGTGAATCAACTAAAAAAGGCAGCAAAGGACGGACAATGATTTTTATCTTAAAGAGAAACTGGAGTATGCCGCTAGGAGATACCCTATAAAACAGTTCATTACATTTCATAAAACTTCAGACAGCTTTTCTTGTGGAACACTCTAAGTCCTCTAGCTGAATGCTAAATCGAATCTGTTTCTTGACTTTCCTAGGGTATTGCTCCACTGCACATGCCCACACATCTTTAAGAATAGAAAATATATATTGAATCTAAGCACTGGTATATTACGCTTCGGCCAGCCGAAGTCCTCTCGTTTGGATCGTGGCTTTAGAGTATATTGCGAGTAGTCTAATCTGTGTCACATTGTGAGCTTTGTCCTGGTTGGCTATGTGTCCATGTGTGCGCATGTATGTGTGCACAGCTACGTGGGCTTGATAATTGATATTGTTGATATGATTGCGTTGTATGAGTTGTTTACTGGCATATGAGTCCAAGTGTATATATATTTATATATGAGTATACTATATCTATTATAAGTAAGCTGCTTCCGTCTGTCCGTTCTGAGTACATTTTGTGCTGGGCTAAGTATTTTCATAAAACTGATTTGTGTACAGTAAATCAACCATTTGTTCCACTGGAAAAGCTTAATCAATATAATAGCAACAAATTGTTGTTGTGTTTCTTTTGATGTGTGTACAGTGATCGCTCTTTTGAAAGACACATTTGAATTGACATGACATGCTAATGAGTCGTCATATTTACTCGTCTACGCACGAGTTTAAATATTTACAATGGAGTTACTTAGATATATGTTTATAATGAGTATTATGTGAGCTTTACTATATATGACTCGATTAAAAAATCTATTAAAATATGAATTGCGAATTTCGGTGGCTGTTATTTGTGTTCGATTTAAATTAAATGAAATTTGAACATTTTAATGCTTATGAAATACTGGAAAATAAATTAAAAATGATTTGATTTAAAAAGCGCAACATTTATTGAATATATATCTAGTTCTAAGAAGAGCATTTTCATTAAAATTGAAAATTATATTTTCACTATAATGCACATCGTTTCCATTCATTTAAAATGTTCTAGTTGACCAAAAATGAGATTTACTCAATTCGATTTCGAGTTCGATTCAGATGATTTGTGAAGCCTAAGATTGTTAAATCAAATACGTATCTAAATGTAATTGCTAATTGTTCAATATATATGTATATATATAGATAATGTATTCAATCATATTGACAAATTTAACTGATTATAGGAGAGAAGCCTAGAGCACGCTTAAATTTACATATGTTGCACCAAGAGATTTCACATTAAGTTTATCATTCCGTTTCCTTCTACATATTATATTATGTGTGTGTGTGTGTGTGTGTGTGTGTGTGTATGCAAGTTGATGTTTACATTTAAGTAACTATATCAGTATATCAAATCTAACTCAATATTTAAGCTAATTTAACTAATTCCACTTACGTTCGCATAATACATACACGTATATAAATATTTTTATATATATGCATAGTTATAGCTTGCATATATTGTATATCCGATAAATAACTTATGTTCTCATATAATTGATGTGTATTTTTGAAATACAACTTTCAGTTGCTTAGCCTACACAAAGATTACTTTTGATTTTGCGTATCATGATGTGGTATCGAGCCAAGCTTAGGTCTGCTGTATGGAGCTCAGGAATGCCGGATCCACAGATGCCACCTTGGCGGTGAGGAATGCGTGCATGCAAAAGAGCAAGCTCTGCAGTACCTGGCACTCTAATTCCTAAATACGATAATGGCATGACATGGAATGAGAATGAGATAGATTCGTTATATAACTAAGCTCTACTTTGATTTGGGTTAACTAATTGAAATTTGGTATTTATTTATGGGACTTGCCTTCGTTTCTATGGCCCGCGTCTCGTTGTCCTGGAAATGTAGCTTCAACTTTGATTTGCCATCGTCGCTGGAGCCGCGCAGCTGTGAGAACTTGTACTGCCAGACCATGCTGGCATCGGCGCCCTCTGTCAATGAGAAGCCCGCCTGCCAGTCAAGTGTCAGGCCGCCGCTCTTGCCGTGATGTGAAACGGCAAAAGTCTTGCGCTGCAGGTATGAGTGATATATATATATATATAAATAGATGTGAGATGTTTTTATTAGCAGTATATGGTTATGTGAGAGCTGTTTCCCCTTCCGACAGCTGCATTGATTGAAGCTTCTAATAATATTAAGTATACGCCCCGTACGCCACTCGGTGTATGCTGACGCACTTCGAAGATCAATAATAGCCTCTGGCTATATCTATAATAGCTATGGCAAAACAACGGCATACATAGGTTCAATAATCCCTTTATGTCCTGTCTGTGTGCTCGACTAACGCTCCAAATTGCGAACCAAATTCGTATCGATTCGGACGTTGGCCAAAAAGTAAATTTTTTCGCCTTCTTTTTCCAACTTTTTGTGCGTCGCTTATGTCGGTCATTGGCTTTGCTCAGACTTTTCTAAAAGCTAACAAGTGTTGCGTAGACACACAATGTGTCTGTGTGTGTGTCTGTGTGTGTGTCTTTGTGTGTGTGTGAGGCAAAGTTACATTAAACAAAATAACGCAAAACTTTTTGGCAATGTTTGTTTGGAAGCGCACAGCGATTTGTTTTGTTCATTCCTTGGAAAATCAATACGACATCCTTTATAATTTGTGCTTAGCGAAAAGCAATTATAAAGCATTCATTATAAATGAGTATTTTTGCTTTTGTAATTAAAGAAACTACCCGGCGAAAACGCTTAGGGATTTCGGTAATTAGCTATTAATTCCTCGTAACTCTATGTTTATAATAAGTATGGAATAAAATACTCGGCCATAAATCAGCTACAACTACAGTTGGCCCAGTCAGCTTGCTGCATTCGCTTGTTGGTCAAAATGTAATTATATTTCTTTATATAAGCGCGACATTTGAATGCTCGCATATGTCTGTCCGTATTGATTATCCTTGGGGTAAGCAGCCCTGACCTTTAGTTCAAGGCTGATCGGGGGAGGGCGGTATGTTTATAAATTAACAAGCAATTGGCAATCACGATAATCGCCGTTTGCATTGTGCCTAGCCCGGCCGAGGCAGCTAATTACAAACAAACATGCGAAATTATCAACAAGAAGCGAACGTGAACTGGTTATATATATTCCTGGCTATGTAAAGGTCTGTTAATGGAGGTCATGGGGACAGCTGTGTGCATGTGTATCAATTCGTGCGTGAGTGCATCTACTTACCCCCAGCTTTATAACGCTGGTCACTATGGCCGCGTTCCAGCTGTTCTCGATGCGCAGCAGCTCTTGGCGGGTCTCGACGCTCAAATATCGCGGCTCGTGGCCGGAGCTCTGCAACAGGAAGCAATGCTGTCGACTGTCCACGGTCTCCGATTCCTTGACGATGCGAAACATGGTTTGATATACCTTATAGACCACCAGAGCCTTGCTGATGCCAGCCACATTCAACTGCAACACAGACGCATCAGTCATATCAAATTGCGTATGCCAGAAATTTATGAGCCCAAGTAGGGAGCTTAACCAAGTAATACAGTTTAAAGCGCATTAAGTGCTCTGCTATCTCTGCTGGAAATCAGGGGAAAACTGCCGGCGCCAAAAGCAGAGGGCGCGGCATGCCTCAATGCAGCCAAGCATCGCGCATGCCGCGGGCCAACATTTTATGAAAGTTGCATTTACAGTGCAAAGGCTGCTCATTAGAGCAAAAGTACAATTTGTATGCACGTGTGTAGCGCTTTGTGTGTGTGTGTGTGTGTGTGACAGGGGTTGCTGCTTGTGCGAGGGCATGTGGGGGACACCCAACTTGACACATAAAATTAGCGCAGCATAGAGCACAGTTGCTTTGAAGAACTTTGGGCAAATGAACACGGAACAAAGCTGACTGCAAATGCTTCCATATCCAATTACATCTGACTTCATAAAAGCCATGACAATTTCAGCTAAACAAGTGAGTAAATCTCGTATCAGCAAATCAAACAAGACGCGGCTGGCTCACCTAATTAATTAGATTAAAAAGCTTTGTATATTGTGGCTCTTCCTTAAAGAGGTTTTTTTTTAATGAAATTTAAATGAGTTTATGTGTGTAAATAGTTGTTGAATAACTTATATATTGCTGATGGGCATAATATATATGAACAATTATTAAAAATATATATTTGTAGGCTTACATCTTCTCAAACTGCATCAAAGCAAATTATAATGATACTCTAAATTCAGTCAAAATTCAGTAACAGGCAGAAGAAGGCGTGGCAGACACCATTAAGTACATATATACTGCATACACAGAGGCGCCGAAGCAGCTCTTCACAACGTTCAGGGTATCTCGTAGTCAGGCACTTCCTTTTTAGAGCTCTCTTACTTGTTGTCTTTGCAGTCTTTGCAAGTAATTGATAGTTCACGTATTCTACTTACCGGAGGTGTTTCGAATAGCATTACTTCTGTGCCTTTGAGCAATAGAAATCTGGGCTTGTAGCTCTGCCATGAGATATTGTTATTGATAACGCCCTCGTTGACCCAGCCCATGTACTCAATGCGCTCGCCCACAGCAAAGTTGCGATTGTAGAGCTTCATCTGTGGTTGCAATTTGATGATAAATTTAAATACTACGCTTAGTTAGAGTTTGTTATTACCTGCAAATGTGTTAGGCCCACAACATTGTCCGTTATTAGCTTGAGCCACTGGCTGAGTATCGCCAGCTCATCACAGTGTATGACCCCGGTGGTGACGCCGTTCAGGCCGCGCACCTCGAAGGCGTTGGGACGCAGCTTGTCCGTTCCGTAGATGTAGCGCGTGACATAGGCCATCATTAGGGGCACTAGAAGAGAAAATAGCCAGAGACAGAGCGTGAGCGAGGGCAACTTGAGAAGTATCTTTAGCTGGTCTTCTTTCTACCTGCCACCACGTCGGTCCAGCGCTTCTCGGGCTCCGAGCAGATTGACATTGGCCGACTGCAGCTGCGGCTGATGGTGCCGCTGTTCACGGAGGACTTGTAGCCCTCGTCTGCCTTTAGCTCGGCACAGGTGACATCGTTGTCGGAATCGGGCGTATCCTTTGTCACTATATTGATTGAATTGATGTTAATGGAATACGTTATTCATGTGGGGTCAGCCCTTGTCATGTTTCATGTTTCATGTGCTCACGTTGCTTCTGCAGGAACGGAGTTGCGGCGCGGTAGTGCTTCACAGTGAGGACAACAATGTCGCCGGCGTTGCGCAGTATGTTGACTGCATCGTCGTGCGGACAGGCCGTTATATATTCGCCATTCACCTTGATGATGGCATCCCCCACAAACAGTTGACCTGTAATGTCTGCCGCCTGATCCTTGTAGATGCGCGATATTAATATGGGCAACTTATGCTCAGCGCCGCCCTTTATGCTCAGGCCCAAGCCGCCCTGTTTCTGTCTCGTTATTTGCACCATTCGCTCCTGCAAAAAAATTCCAATATACATACATACATACATACATACATACATACATACATACACATATATATATATATTTGTGTATGGGTAAACATTCGAGGATTGTTGAGCATGCTCAAAGAGATTACAGCAACACTTTTGGGATAAGTGCTCTTAATGAAGCCAAAGTTTATTAACATACCTTGGATTCCATTGGCGGCCCATTGTGCTGCGAGCTTGTTGGCGTAACAATTTCCAACTTTTGCAAGGTCAACAATTCCATTGTTAGACTAAGTCGGAGGGGCTCTGGTCTGCTTTTGCCATCGCTGACATGAACCATGCCAGACCTCACCTGTTGCACGTAATTTCAAATTTTGTTTAGGCATGATTAATGGCATTTGTATGTGCTATTATACTATTGTTTTTGTTGTTGTTTTGTTGTTTTTACCTTTAAGTTTTGATCGAGCTTTTCCTCAATCGGTGTCGCCATTGTGTCCGAGAGCTTCATATTTTTTGCTTAACTAAAATTGCTGTGAAAAGGGTTTGAAAACGAAATGTAAAAGGTGTTAAAAGAAATATGTTTAAGCTGCGAAAATACATAACAGAAGTCAGGAATGTATTATATATATTAATGGATTTCCTTTGTGAACATAAAATATTTGTGCTTTAAGCCAACATGCTACAAGCCTAAGCTAAACTATCAAATGAACTTTAATCAAGTTGCTAGAAGAAATAATGGGGCTGACATTGTGGCAAAAGTTGAATTCACATTCATTTGAAATTATTGAAATTATATTTTAACTTTGATATAATCAAATATAATCTATGAAGACAATAACTAAAGAAAACTTTGATATTAGATTCCATAGAACATCGAATATTTTCTATCTTTGATATTGAACTGTATAGAATAGGTATCCGACTATAAGATACCCAACTATACTCAAAGATGTTCAATGTTCCTTATCTTCAAATACATTCCAATATGCCTATGCATATATTCAATTTAATTCAATGTTCCTTATCTGTGATATTTAATTTCAAATGCCTCATCATTCAACTTAAACTACACAGAGTATTCGACTATAAGACACCCAACTATGCTCAATGAAGTTTATTGTTTCTTATCTTTGATATGGATATATGCCTGAATACATGCCTTAGGCAGCTGCCAAGTAGTTATCCAAATGAACTCTACAAAGTCGAGTACGCCCTTTTTTTCATATAAAACTTCATAGAGTATATTTCTATCTAAATTCTGTCATTTAAGCTCGCAGAAATACTTGAATGAACAGCTAAAAATACCTTAACATCATTAAAGGAAAATCTTGCTTGGCCTTAATAGAATTTTCTTGAAACTCTCGAATGTCAATTGGCTAAGCATTGATTACAGTTTTAATTAGCTGCGATGCTCGAATTGCGACTTAGGTAATAAGACACACCCACACACACACTACTAGACGAGCTGTACTATGCCATGACGTCTATAGGTAAGTCGGAGAGTTATGTCTGTGTGGCGTGTGTTTACATATTTAATTTAATTAAATAACGAATTTAATTGCTGTCTACCGTATGGCAGGCACAAATCCGGCAAATGTCACGTTTTATATGTATTTTTATTTTATTTTATTTTATTTTGCGCATTCAATTCACAAACAAGTTTCGGGGCAACCGCAACAGGCCAAACAATTGACAGGGGAATAGTGTAAATACACTGAATATTTGCGGACAGCCAGACGCACGCTATCTAATCAGAAATTACATGAATATTTTAAAAATAATTCCGATATATACAAGTACATATGTTTTCAATTAAAAACGAAAATAAATATGCAACCGGAAAACATTATATTACAAATGACTGAAAAAACACACACACGGTTTAAGTGCTTTGGCGATGCTTCAAGTGTGGCTGCAGCTGCTGAGGGAATGAATAATACAAATAACAAGAAGAAGACGAAGGCGAAGAAGAAGAAGAAGAGGCGTACAAGTGCCGACATAAATACATAAATATATGTATGTACAGGAAGAGCTGTTGATATGTATGACTGCCGTATGGCACAACACTTTCACTACCCTTCCCAAGCACACGCACACACACTCCCACGCACACTCACACTCATATGCGTATTGAGCATGAAAACAGATCCCCTCAATCTATTTGAGTGCTTGTGTTTAAAATTGTTTCTGGGTAAAACAGGTGTTATTCCATACGTTCGCCATTAAGTGAGGAAATAAATAAATGCTGAGAGCGAAAAGAGTGATTTTTCTGATTTTTCAATTCGCGGAAATTTTAATCTATAAACAAATGAGTATATATGTATATAACTATGGTTACCCGGTAAATAAATCGAGTGTAGGCCATGCCTGGCAACCGACTTTAAAAACAAATAAGCCAACTTTCAATGACATCTATGTATGTATTGCTGTTGTTGTTGGGCGGGAAGCGCGGGTCAGAGATGCTAGCCCCGAACACATAAATATTTCATTCGAGCCCGTTCGCTGGCCCCGTAAAAGTTGCAAAGTACCATCGAGATGATACAATTTATGCACTTACCACAGACACACACGTGCGTGCCAGTTGGAGCTGTTGACCTGGGCTACGGCTACGGCGACGGCGATGGCTACGGCTACCTTTGATTATGGCTGTATTACGTGTACTTTGTCGTGTGGCGTGCGTGTCTTGAAACCCGTTACGTTAGCCAGCAGGCGAAACTCACTCACTCACTGACTGGCAGAGTGGTGGGTTGACTGGGGGGAGGGTGGTGCTGCTGCTGTTGGTGCTGGTGGTGCTGGCTCTCTGGCTCAAACCAAACAAGCCAACATGTTCGCTGAAAGCTATGCTGCTCTCGCTTGACAATCAGCTGTGCTGGTTAAAAGAGCAGCCAGCTAGGGTAACTTTTGGGGCTGCTGCTCGACTGAAGTATTACACGCACACACTCGCACTCACTGTCGTACATATTTATGTTCCACTGTAATTGTTGTAGTATGCACTAAACTGCGACAAATGCACACAAGTTGAGCAATTCACATTTCACGTACAGCTATGAAAATTGTTAAATTTTATTGTTGCTCACTGCTCGCGTCGCCTGTCGCAAGTCGCATGTCGCATGAATGCAGAGCAAATGCAAATGCAAATTGCATTTATGGCATTCTATTGCCAGTCAGAGTATATATTACTTTATGTGCACGAAGTATAATCCCGCTTGGAACTGGGTCATATTTTCCGTTGAACTATTTGTGGTTGGGCATTGATTCGTTTTGATATGCGCCAAGCATTCGATTAACTAACGTTCTTCAGTAGTGAGTACTCGAAAAAGTATGCTAACATTTTTAGATTTTCCACTGTTTTCTTTTCTTTTGCTCTGTTCTCCTCTTGCCTCAGCGTTCACTGTGCCTTTGGCTCATGTAGTTTTCCTCTTGGCATCCGCTTCCGTTCATAGCACAACGTTTTGTAAGGCTGTTCGCGAACGCACTAAAATTCAATTCTAAGTGAAGTCAAATGCGTGCCAAGAGAGCAATTCGGGCACAACCTCTCGCTCTCCCACACACACGCACACGCACCCACACTCATAGAGCACATAAACAGAAACACAAACACATGTGAGAGAGCGGCCATGCACATGATAGCTTTGCAGCCTTGCAGCGCACATGATTAAAAGCTGCCAGCGTTGCCATACTCTGACATAACATTTTGAAACATTAAAAACCGTAAATATACTTGAATTCTATAGTAGTTTACTAATGTTATAATTTATTATTAAATCAAATTTAAATAAATTGTATATTTTTCTATGAAAAAGTTCTTTATGTTCTGTTTGCCCGATAAAAGTCCCAAAAGACCTTGTGCTTAAAGCTTCACGTTCTAGAGCTTTGCTGTGTGCTGTGCATGTGCGAGGATTTTCGAAAGCTGGATAAAAGGAAAAGCTTTTAGAATTTGATAAAATTATATTGAATTATACAATAAACCTTTGATATTGCTAAATTATAGAATTTAAGCTTAGTTTATGTATCTACCAACCAGTATTGCTAAGAGCTTTTAGAAATTATTTTAGTGTGACAAAAAAAGTATTTATAGCTGAAAATTATAATATGAAATATATATGAGTAAAAGTATATAAGTATATACATAGAAAATATCTGAATATAACTATGATAGAAACATTTTTATGTATTTAATAAATTAATAATATATAAATTATTATAGTTAATTAATATTCATAATATTTATTGCTTTATAATGAATTATTTATATATTTAATATTCATCCCAGAAATTGTCAACAATATATATTTGTCTTTAGCCGTATTGCCATTTGCTCTGCTTATGCGTTTCTCTAACGGTACAAAAAGTAAAGCTTCTGTGCCAAAATAAAGCTCTGTTGCCTTTGGTAAGCTATTGTAGTTGCCAACTGAGCACACAGATGGCGCTGTTTTATGAATTATTGAGTAGGCTTGCTCAGCCATTGATCTAGGAGGCTAATCAGCATTGTCTATTCTTATAGGAAAGTTGTTGGAATTGATGTTTTGAATGCCGAGTCCAGTACCAAGTCATATGTCTTCATATAGCTGTGCATGTGAAAAGTTAAATGAATTTTTCGTTCAATGTTAATTAAAAGGCGAGCCGCGCCTACTTACCTGTGTGCCGGCAGCTCATTAAAACTTTGGGATTTCGACACTCGGCCCAGTCTTATTATTGTTTTCTTTTTGGTCCCGCTTTCCTTTTGCACAACGGGCACTCGGGGCTCAGTGATAAGCCGAGAATAAATAGCATTCGCAAACAATGGCGGCAAAGTTAATTAATGAGTTAGCACAAGTTGCAAAGATTTGGCATTACAGACACATTTCCATTTACGTGTACAGAGTCAGTGGGCTGGCAAATGGGCTTATGCAAGTGCGAAAGAGCACATGTGAAGAGGTGGTGAAAACTTTTTAATAAACACTCTATTGATGGCAATTGACAATTATGCAAATGGGCAATAAGAATAACATGGAAGAAGCTGACACAAACTTGAAATGATCAATTTTTGATTCGCAATCGCCTTGGCACTTTTGGAGTTGCGACATCTATCTGGCAATCGTGCCCCAGAGCAGAGCAGAGCAGGGCAGGGCCAGGGCCAGGCAACGTGCTGATGAAGTGACAACAAAAACAAGACAGACAAACTTGCAAACACACAAAAATTGCCAAGGGCTAAGGGAATGTGCTGAGAAGTTCACAATGCTGGCAACGACAACACAGAAAAGGTGACACCCAACTTAATAAACTCTGCCAGCAGAAGCAGCAGCAGCAGCAGCAGCAGCAGCAGCCGGGGTAGCTGAAGCATCCGGAATAGCCGAAGTAACCCGCCAGGTGCATGGATCATTTCTAGCTTGTGCTCTTTGTGTTTGCGCCTTTGTCTTGACACCGGCACTCCGAGACTCCGGCTGAGAAAGCAATCGGTTTGGATGGGGGCGTGTTCGGGTGCGGGTTAGAGTTTGGGTTTTGGGTTTTGGGTTTTAGGTTTAAGGCGTCGGCATTATTGACAAAAGTTTTGCGTGTGTTTTTCGAATAGAGATGGAGGCGTTGAGGGGCGTCGGGGCGTCGGGCGCAACACATTTTTGTTAGCTGATTGAAATTAGTTGAAGCATAAAAAAGTTTGTTTGCTAACAATTTTATACAAAAATATTTCGTTGCAAAGTAAAATTATGACTGCTTTGCATATTTTTCGGTTACCAATGTAAAACTTTAGCCTTTCAACTTATTGGCAAATGTTGGAATTTATGGGCCTGTGCCGGGTCCTGAGCCAATGTTGGTTTTATTTTGCCAGCAATGAGCTGCGGTTTAACAAGCCAACGTTATGCCATTTCTCCATTTTGTTCTATTCTCCTTCACTTCACCTCTCTCTCTCTATCTCAGTTAGTGCTGTGCGCCTTTTCCAGGCGGTTTGAGGTCTTCTAATGGCATTAGCAGCCTGTCTGTTGACTTTGTTGAGTCTGTTATTGACTTTGCAAATGCGACGCCCTTAAAGCCAAAAATGATGCACACTCCACTCCCCGCTACAGCTGCCACTCTTCACGCTGCTACAATCTTTTCAGAGGTAACTCCTCTCAGGCATCTAAATAAAATTACGTATACGCCACACATAAACGAGCTGAAACTAAGGCGTCGTGGCGCAAATTGTAAGTGAATAATTATGTTATATTCTGTGGCCCTAATGAACTTAAGAGCGCTAGCTGGCAGCCTAGACATATCGTGTCCTGCTCCTCTATATCCATAGCCCGGCATCTCGCACTCGTCTACCCAGCAGGACCAACAAGCATGAAAAAAGCCTGCACAACAAACTGAATTTTCACGTGGCGTACGTTGATGTTTCTCTTTAAGACTTTTCTCATGTTTATTAACTTTTACGCTGTGCACGCTGCACTCCATGGTAATTGGCTAAAATATTTTATTAAGTATTCAGTTCAGTCTCTACAACTGTTCTTTGTCCTAACGCAAATATTTTCCTTTTTATTATGGCTGACCACATGTGGAAGTTTCCTGCAGGGTGTCCAGCGCAGAGCAGCGTGCGATGGCATGCCCGCGGCTTTTTGGCATTTTCTACTAATTTGGACGCACGACCCTTTATAGAAAATATGCTTGAAGTAACTGGATGAGAATTTAATTAAGCCCGATTCAGTTTTTGAAGCACGCTTCAATGGCTGGCATGAAAATCGAATTAGTCGAGAGACGGCAAATAATTGTGATTTTCAATCGAGTGTGATTGGCATTGGCATTGGTTTTGTGTTAAGCACTAAATAAATTTGCCCAAAATTATATAAACGATGCGATGTTTTGAGGCCAAAGCAAGTGGCACCGCAAAACCGAATGCATGCACATATTTTGATTGTACAACCGCAATCCAGACCTGGCACGTCCTCTTCTCTCCTGTCCAGTCCTGTTCTGTCCTATCACAATATTTGACCAAAACGGGCTCTATGCAAATGCAACAATCATGGGGCATTTGTGAAGTGCCATTGCCCATGTCGAAAAATATGTAATGAGCGGCCGAAGCTCGGTCAGCTGGTGTGGGAGGTGTTGTTTGACCAGACGACATAAATCACGTACAGCCACAAATACACTCCATATATATATATCTGATTCACATTTATATATTTACTATTTATATGTGCGTCTATGCAAACCACATAGATTTGCAAAATGTTTTTGTTAATTCGATGCGGTGTCTTTGCAAATTGAATATAATCTGCAAAGTGAAATGAAACGAGGCGCACAGACACACCTGTATAGCCATACACCTGTAGAGAATTAAGTCTGGCATAAACTGAAACATGCTGAGCATTTGTGAGATATGAGAAAAGTGCAAAACAAGGCAACAAATCAAACGAGCGACAAGCAGAACAAACAACCCAAGGAGCGGCTGTAGTCCAAGTCGAAGTTGAGGCTGCAACCGAGAGTGGCATGCATGTGGCAGCAACAGCGCCTGTGGCACACATGCAAAGCTGGTGACGGCTTTTTATCCGAATCTACGGCACGGAAAATGCATTCAATTTGGCGCGGAGCACGATTCGGGCGAATGCATAGCAATCAAAATGCGGTTAGTTGCGTGTGGCATTGCCGACAACAACAACAGCAACAAGAACAACAGACGCATGAGAAGCAGAAACAACAACCGCGGTAACAACACTGACAACACACGATGCCAACAGCAACAGCAACAGCAACAGCAACAACAACAAGGACAAGCAACAGCAGCAAAAAATGACAATTGTCAACAATTTTAATTTTCATATACACGCCACGGGTAAGAGCAACAATAGCAACAGCAACAACAAGGATAACATTCGCGTTATAACAATGGTCGCAGGCCTTAGCACGCTCTATAGCCTACACACACACACACCTACACACAGAGAGACACATACGCATATATATATGTGTGTGCGTACGCATACATATGCAATATACAAATGGATTCCAGCTAGAGCCTTGGTAATGGAACTTTATGAGCTCATGTTGGTCCGAATCGAACAATACGGCCGTAACTGTAACGGTGTTGCTCAACCCTCTGTCCATCTGTCCATCTGTCCATCTGTCCGCCTGTCGTTTGCCATGTCCGGTCCAGCTGACCGCATTTTGCAGCTGACTGCGGGTAAATAATTTTGCAACTGATTTCTGCACTGCATTTCAACTGCATTCATTGTCAACGGGCAAAAGGCCTCCACGATTTCAGCGGAGATGAAAAACTGTCAATTCCTAGTTTTAGGGAAATAGCTAGCAATGTCTAATCATTGATTTTAATTAAATTCGCTTTACCATTAGAAGCGGACTGAACTCTCTTGTAATCTTTACGCTAAACATCAATATTTCTGATGATTTTTAATAGTAACATTTTGGTATATATTTTTCTATTATAAGCAAAATTTTAGTACTTATATATATTTAAAAATAAATAAAATTAGTAAAATAAATTGAAATTTAAATAATTATAATAAAAACATTAATTT